TATTAACATTTTTATTTGATTTCACAATATTTAAAATTGTTATATATTTATCACTTACAGTTGAATTTTTAGTTTGAATCGTGTCTTGAAATCCAAAGTTTATGGAACACCAGTTAAATTTTTTTCTGATTTTCTTAAACTGCAACCAAAACCACCAATAGCTTACACAAGGTATAATCTAAAATCTAAGAATTAAATAAACTGTTGACATAACCTAAATTGAAACCAAGTAGTACACTGAATATTGTTCATTGGTTAGCATGGACATCCAAACATTTTATATTGAGAGTACCTATTTACTTATTTCAAAAATTAGAATTAAAGGTTAAGGTACTTAGGTTAATATTATTGGTTTCAATGCATTGACCAAATAACAAGTTTTTAAAAATAAATGTGATATTGATACATAAATTATAAATAAAATGTTTCATTACTGTAATTAACCTCGTAGTAAACACTAATAAGGAATGTTAAACCATAATGAAACAAAGTGAAACGTGAACCTATGTTATTTTATATTACTTTCAGACAATGCTTATATTATATTCTGCTTTTGGTTTTGGGCCTTCAAAAGTAAAATATGGGTTGTAGTTATTTTGGTTATGGTTTTTTCTTTAAAATCAATTGACATACACATACCTATTGATTTTATTGCGCCTAGTGCCAAATTAGGTTAAGCCGAACATGAATTAAATTAAAAGTAGGTACCTATAATATGGTTTCTTAAAATTGTTTTCATTTCTATTGTTCTATAAGCTATCACACATAAAGAAATAATATTTAAAATTAGATCTGCTCATGATTCTAACATCATTATGTAGGTATGTTCATAATCTGTTCAGAATAAAAAAAGCCAGTTACAAGCATATTGAATGAGCTCATACGTTGGTCTACCTCCCCTAATGCCAAAATCTGTAATGTCGCTGCTCAGCAGCTTAGCCACCAAGTGTACCTACACTTGGTGGCAAATGACTGGCGGTTGAGTAGAGGTAGCTGTATGAGTAGTTAGTTTCAACACATTTTCGTCTTTCAGCCCGGACATACTTATTATGAACATTGTAATAAAAAAAAATGCTACTAAGTGATAAATTCCAATTAAAAATAATTAAATCAATATTTATTTTATATAAAAATAAGTACTATATTATTTGTGTACCTTATATGTATGAACAAATGAAATTACTTATTTAAACTGCATACATACAAACCATTATGAAATTATAATATTTAGGTGAACTAATAAAAGATATATAGAAGTTTTAAGTAGAAAAGTTAACTATACTTTTTCTACCCAATTTTAAATAGTCCTATCTTAACCCTTTGGAGAGTGAATTGGGATTTATTAGTTTACACCCAGGGAGTGAATTAGGAATGAGCAACTTGGATAAATTATTTAAAGTAAAGACGTATATTTACGTCTTAAATACGATACCGCTATTTTAGTAAAGACGTAAATATACGTAGCCAGTAGATAGCAGCACATGATTCATAAATTATCGTAAATTTAATACGGACATAACACATAGATAAAATAACGTTTTTGTATAAAACGTAAATATACGTCCATACTCCCTGAGGAGCGTTTCAACAAAACGTACATATACGTCCATACTCGTCAAAGGGTTAATTAAATAACTATTCAGTTGTACCAAGTACATACAATTAAGAAATTAACAATTTCTTACTACTTGTTCACAAGGAGTAATTTATAAATATTTTATCCTTTTTGTTTTCCATTAGGTTATATTATTAATTAATTTTGATGTTTGTATTATTTTAACCTCTTACAGCTGTTGCTTATTTTTTATTGAAAAATAATATTTTAATTTTTATATAAGTATTTCAATATGATGTAAGATATTTAAAGATAAGTCAATTGAATTTATTATTTTTTTTTCTGTATAATAAGAAAACAATTCTTTAGAATTACATTTATATTAAGTTTTAGAGTATATAAGTAGTTAGATACCTACATGTTGTTCAAAAATTTTGGAAACAGTTAATAGATTAATCAGGACTGATAAATGATAATCTGATATAGTTAATGAGGTGATGAAATATTTTACATAATAAATGTGCGGCAGTGTTAGATATCTGTTATTGCTATATGTATGTTTGAAAATATACAAACACTAATTAAAGAGTTTCCAATTTTTTTGTACACCTTGTATATGTAAACCATATTTTCATGTGAACAAATGGTTATGATGTGTTGCGTTTAAATTTAGTATGTAATGAGAAAATAGATCAAAATGTGTTATACAAAGTAGGTATTCTATTTAAATTGTTTGACTGTCTAGTAAATATATTTAAAAATAACAAAAATTTAACAATATAGATTTTGAAGTGTAAATATTCATAACAACCAACTTATTTAAGTAATATTTCTATTACTGTATTTAAATAATGATAATAATGGAAAAGTGATGAAACATTGAAATATTTAAATTAATAGGCCTACAAATAAACAGTACATGATTCAGATGATCAGTGAACACTATTTATACTTACATGAGTTAGTAGTCATTCAAATTGATTTAAAAACAGATCCAATAAATATGTACTGTGTAATGTTACATAGGGTACAATTATATAAATGGTATCTTTTACTATTTGATAGTTTATTATTTTATCTACTATTACAGTAGACGCCGCTTATAAGACTCACTTTGGGACCAGCACAAAGTGAGTCTTATAACCGAATGAATCTTATAGGCGAAGTGGAAAAAAAAAATTAATTACGTATTTATAAATTTTATTTTACTACATATTTTGCTTTGATTTTAATACTTTAACACATTTTACATATTACATACTTTATTATTGAATAAATTTAATAATCCAGATAAAAAAAAACTAAAATTATAATAGGTAAATATTACATATAAAAATATTATAAAAATTATACAATAATAAAAAATTATAAAGGATGTATGTACATATTTTAATGTATTTATTATTTATTTTTATTATTTTATTATTTATTTTTATTATACGTTATAAGGTACCATCAGAAACTAGAAATAATCAACACAAATATTATTTAATTTTTCAATACCAATTTATTTCTAAATTATAACCAAAAAAGTTTATTTCCTACTATTTATTCTATGAAATTTGAGTCTTATAACCGAAGTGTTGAGTCTTATAACCGATATTTTTTTAATGTATTTCGTGAGCCTTATAAGCGGCGTCTACTGTATATACATTTTCCCGATAATTAAATATCAGCTAACATTTCAAAGATTTTTAAACAGCTCCATAAAAAATTCATGTCAATTAATCTAAACAGGTGTTAATCAATTTCACCTAATATGATCACATTGGGGAAGATCATTTTGATTCTACTAAGTACCTAGCTAACTGCAGTAAAATTAGTTGGTGTAGCCACATGGCTTAAGACCGTTATCAAAAATTTTAGATACCCTGTAACTGTTTATCGTTTTATTTTGATATTATGGTAAATTGTAACTGTTTGTCAACAGTTTACTCAAATTTAAAGTTAACTTTTAATCTTTAAAATCCGCTGATGGAGTTATTTGATTACCTGTTGCCGGTTGAAATTGGTTAATTGGTCAATATTAATTGAAACTATAAAAATCTAATAATTTTTTTTCTATATTATGGGTATAATGGTAATTATTTCAAAAATGTCTAAGAAACCACAAAAATATGCACTAAAAGATAAAATATTATGCAATTAAAATTGTAAAATAAGCCTTTAAAATAAAAAAAAATGGGTATATTTCAAATAATGATATGCGCCATAAAGTTTCATAGTTTAAATTGTTATGTCATGAAACAAGTTCTGTGTTCACTTAGCATATCATACGATCAACCAGAATAAATATGTGAATGCATGTAATTCCATTCTCTATTGTTGAATAATTTTAATAGTGATTGCATTTGGACATCATTTATTTTATTTTATATACCTATTTGTCTAAAATTATATAATTTTGTTATGTTATTTAACTATTATAAGCCATACAAGTGATTTAATTATTTGGTGTACCGTAATTTTAATAAAATGTCAATTTAACATTACAACCATAAGATTTGGTTGAGGTTTTTATTTTTTGGTTCCAATAAATGGTTGGTTATATTGCTAGCATTCACATTCAATTGAACATTAATAATATAAAAGATGTATTATTATCTATAGATCTTTATATTTGCTACTCCGGTTTTAGTAAAAAAAAAAAAAAAATGTATTAGTTAAATCATTTAGGTATTTATTGACAAAGCATAAATATTTTATAGGTAGTAGGTTTTCTTGAATTAATAGATTATATATAATGACTTAACATTTTTACGTACAACAACCTCGAAAACCATAACTAGATTTATTTTCAAAATATGTATTTTAATTGTTATTGTTTTGTTAACCCTAATCTACACTGTTTTAATACCTACTTTTTTTTTTAATAAATTATTCATTATAATTTATTTTATACTAGAAACTAGTACCTAAGTAAATTTAAAACAATATATTATTTTAGTATTTATTAATATTTGATTGATAAAATATACTTAGGTACCTATTCTACACGCATTTTTATTTTGTAATACCAGATATACCATATTTTGTAATATAAGATTGTGAACATTTTTAACATTAAGCTTAAAATAAACTAGTTCTTCATAATTTGAGTATGCTGAAAGAGGAAAAGTTATAACGGTTATGTTCATAATAACAGTCGTAAGCGTATAGCTTTTCCCCTTTTAGTGTATTCATATCAACAATCAACATCAACATTTTTTTTAATAAGAAACATGTCATTTTTATACATCAACTGTATCTTTAAACTATATTTAAATTTGTATTGATAAAATATTTATTTTTTTAATATTCTTTTAGCTGAGCCAAATTAATTAAAACTTTTTCTGTTCTAGGAAATAAATCCAAAACTGATTAATTACGATTAAATCAAACAATGTCAGACGGCGACACCAATGAAGATCTGCTAAATAGCAGTATTTAGTTGGTTCAGAAGACTATGGATTCATATGAGTTGTTTGGAGAGGATGTGGGTGGAAACATGTTGGAAGGTTTATCTGAATTGGGAGGAGATAATTTCACAGATGTGGCAGGTCGTGGTAGTCAACCCCCTGCAAATACAGGCTATGCCCAATCGCAACCATATCAGTTACCTGGAGAAATGCATGGTCACCAAGGGGAGTCTCCACTACAAAAACTTGCATCATTTGGACCCCCAAGTGGTGCAGGGCCAAGTGCACCAGATTACAACCCTGGTAATCACATGGATCACTTTCATTCTAATCACTCTGGATCAGCTTATGGATCAAGTAGGGTTTCTTCAGGCCTAAGACCTAATTTAGGACAATCTGGACCGCCACAGTATTCACCTTATTCAGATGCTGCAGCAGGCATGTATGGTGCCACTGATCAAGCTGCTTTACAAGCTTGGTCTAATTATCCTGCTCCAGGTATTAGTAGGCATTATCCACATATAGCTCAACCATCTTACAGACAACACATGAGTTATCAACAACAACCCAGTCAAGAAAATCAACAGAAACCGGGCCAGTATGTATCTATGATGACTTCACATCAAACTCCATCTAGTGTTTATTCACGAAGTCAACAACAATCAATGGCACCTTATCAAAATATGATGTATTCAAACACTTCACCAGGGTATTCTGCTTATGGTCATCAACAGAACACTACTACTGTTTCTTCACGAATACCACCACATCACATGCAACAATATCCACAACAACAAATGCAAATGCCTGAAATTCCTAATCCTCAAGCTCCATCAAACTACAATCATTTACAAACACAAATGACTTCTCATCCAGCATTTTCGCAGCAACCTCAACCACCTCAACAACAGCAATCTCAACCACAACAACCACAACAACAAATGCCACAAAGATCGTTAGGAATTGATGTACCTAGTAATCCTTCTTATGGGCCACCTAGTGGGGGTAACCAAAGTAAACCTCATACTTCTCAAGGAGGGAGCCCTCAACCGCAATACCGTGCACAGTTTCCCCAACTGTCACCACAAATGTCTCCACGACCTCAAATGTCACCTAGGCCGCAAATGTCTCCAAGACCTGTAATGTCGCCAGCAAAACCAACAACACATTCACCACACCCTCATTCCGCTCAATCTAACATGTCTCCAAGGCCTGCTACAGCATTAACCCCAAAAGCAGTGGCTACTTCCAGCCCATCTCCTTATGCTCAACAGAGTACTCTTCAACAACTTGAACAAATGGTGATGCCTACAGTTAATACTAATACAACCACCGATTATCCAGGATATAGAAGTGGTTTACAAGCTAATACTTCTCCACATTGGCAGTCAGCACCAAGACCTCCTCATAATGGAGGAATGGTTTCTCAAAATATTAACGACCAAGGGTTACCAGTATATTCAGCCATGCCATCTGAAGACCAAAATCTGGATTCTTCTAAATCCCAATCAAATTCTAATTCTAGTGGTAATTTGAATATGAATAATATACCTAATATGGGTGAATCAAATTCTATTCCAAGTCAAAATAATCTCGATTATCCTCCTAACGCACAAAATAAATATACCATTTTAGAACCGCAACACATTCCTGTTTCACATTCTGGAGATATGCCTCCAACTTTAGAACCACAAACAAATATACCACCAGCTCAACAGCAGCAACAGTTACAGCCAACAAGCCAGAACCCAAGTTCTATGGAACACATGGGGTCTAACAGTATGACTTCTACTGGTATTGGGTATAATGACTCAATGTCTCAATATCAAAATGGTAATAAAATGGAAGAAATGATCGGCAATCAACCACCCGATGCACCTCAACAGATGCAACATTCCCAAACTTCAATGTACGATCCAAGAGGCCCCCCACCTCCAGGAATGTACCATTCTTCACCAATTAGTCATCAACAAGAAATGGCTGCATTACAACAGCAACTTCAAGAATTATATTGTATGCCACCTTCTGGGCCTGATCATCAATTAAGGGTACTTATGATTTATATTTAATAGTTCATTGAATTTAAATGTGAAAAAAGATTAAAGCATACTAATATTACATTATTATTTGTAGGATATTTTGAGATATGTGTATGTTATGACTGTTATGTAGTGTACTAGTATGTATGACAGGGTACAGTTAGGGTTAGGTAGTTGTATTGAGTTATATGGCGTTGGTCAGTGGTCTGTTTTGATAATTAAATATTTAAATAGCTTTAAACTTTTCAATTCCTAATGTTTGTTAAAGTATTAAAAAGTAAAAGTAAAGTAATAAAAAAAAAAAAAAAATAGCACTAAGTATTTTCATTTGAACCAAAATTGTATGTGTGTTTTTCTAGATAAATCATATTCAAGATAGGATATCCATTCTGCAACAACATGAAGCAAATGATCAATGCATGGGTGGTGTACACTGTCCAGTTGTTAACCCTATGTATCAACCTGCCATCATGGAACCGGCTGTACCGGTGGTATGCATTTTTAATAAATAAAATTTTTTTTTATGAAATTACTTATAAAAATAACTTATATAGGTGTCAGGTCGTGGAAGAGGAAGAGGACGAGGAAGAGGTAGAGGTAGTACTTCAGGTGAAGGCCGAGGGACACCTAGACCAAGAAAAAGCAGGAAAAAAGCTCAAGAGCCTGAGCAAATTCCATTTTCTCCTCCCTTATTACAACCAGAAATGCCAACACATCCTATGGTGCCACAAGATATGATGCCAATGCACATGAATATGAGTCCTGGTATGGCTCAACCTCATCATATGATGGCTCCTGGAATGCCGCATATGGGAATGCCACCTAACCCCATGCATCATGAACATATACCACAATCGTCTATGTATAATAATTCAGATTCTGCATACCATCACCATATGCAATCCTTAGGATGTCCACCACCACAACAACATGTGCCTCAACAACCACCACCTCAACAGTTGCCACAATTGCCTGTGCAGCAACCTATAATACCATGTACTTCTGAGTCACAAATAGTATCTAACGCCGTTCCTTATCCAGAGCCTATAATGCCTCCGGTGCACCTTGAACAACCTATACAAATGTCTCCTGAACAACAACCACAGCCACAACCACAGCCTCAACCACAGCAACAGCAACAGCAACATCCACCATCACAACAGCCACAACTAGAGGAATTGCAACAACAAATACAAGAACCGCCAATAATGCCTCAGTCTCCGGTTGAATCAGAATCACTATCCCGTGCTGAATCTCCTTTGATAGAACAAATAAACCAATCTCCACCACCTGAATCTGAAGTTCTGTCACCACAAGCTCCGACAGAAGTAAAAAAAGATTCTAATCCTGATATTCAATCACCAATTGGAAGTCCTATTGTGGAGAAATCAGTAGTAGATAATGATGATACTTCAGTTGTTTCACACCAGTCTAGATCACTGTCACCGGCTGAATTGAATGAACCACAATCTCTTGAACGAGATTGTTGGTCTGGTAGTGAACATGATCCTCCTCCACCGACACTGACCGCAGAAGTTTCACCTCCAGCTTCTCCAAAAGCTGAAAATGAAATAGCTGAATCGAGTATATTCAATTTCACTGAAGATGAAGAACCTCCCCCACCACTTCATTCACTATCTGATGGATCTCCTAGGAAATTAAAAGGACTTCCAAGGTATTTAGTTTAATTTATAATCATATAATTGTTATTTGGATTGTTGTTTATAATTCATTATATACATTTTAGAACGAAGAAATCACAATCTCCAAAAACAAAAAAGCCTAAAGCAACTAAAGTTCCTAAATCTAAAGCAAAAGATCGTAAGAAAAAAGAAATTATTCTAGAAGCTGAAATAGTTGAAGAAACTCCTCTTCCTCCACCTTCAAAGCCAAAAAGGTAAATTTAATTTTCAAACTTAAAATTTTACTAAATATTTGATTATATTTCATCATTGATGAAAAGTAATCATATTTTATTTAGTAATTTATTCAAATTAGATTTTCCAGTGTTTTTGTCATTATCTGTTTAATATAAAAAACAATGTTTTGAACGTAATTGATTTAAATTAGTTATTAAAAATAATATGGTATATTTTGCCTTCTAGACAATCAAAAAAAAAGAAAAACTCTACACCTGAAAATAAAGTATCCGAAGAAATAGATCATAGTAAAAATACAATGGAAATTAAGCAAGAGGGAGAAATAATTGATGAAAGTACACCTGATGAACTGGAAACTAAAGTCGATGAAACAGTTGAAAAGGACTTAGATGATACTGAAGTCGAAACAAATCTCGAAAAGAATGATAAAGAAGTTATAGCTGATGAATCATTGGCAGACGTAGAATCTTTGCCTGAAAGTCAACCAGAGCAGCCAACAAAATCTTCAAAATCATCTAAACGTAGTACTGATCGAAAATCAAAAAGTCGTAGCAGTCGTGCTTCCAAGTATGTTATGAATAAATATGTATATTTTACAATCATATGTGCAAGTAGGGAAATTGTTCTTTTGGTGGGGGGCTAGAGTTGTATCACCAACACAGACCTTAATAATTGATATCTTAAACTAAAATATGATTTAAAAACTGGGGAGGGAGGCTAAGCCTGGAGCCCCCCAAGCCCCCATAATGTCCCCATGTTTACAATATCAAATGTTTTCATATCAATTTGGTCTATTATGCTGTATTAAAAATATATATAACACTTAGGTATAACAAGTAATTTATATTTTTAATTTAATAATGTTTAATTTGCGGTTACTTAAATAAAAACTAATTGTTTTTTATATATTCTTATATTAGACGGAAGAAACCTAAACCGCTGGTAACAAATGAATCTGAAAATGATGAGCCTAATGTTACACCGCCACCGTCGCCTGAAGGTGATGATAATGTGAGTATTTGAAATTGTTTTTCTTTAATTTAATTGTTTATCTCCTCTTCTGTAATATTATAATTTATAATTTATTTTATATACTGAAAAAAATATAGAAATAGTTTTTTTCTCTATTGTTCTTTAAATTGGTTTTACAATTGAATAATTGTTTTTATATAATAATTTTTAAATAATTTTTATTAATAAATAGAAACGAAGATCGGGTAGACATACACAGAGAAAGAAGTATGTTGATGACATTATGTTAGCTATGTCTGATGAGGATTCACGAAAATCTTCTTCTCCTCAACGTTCTAAGTCAGCAGTGTCTGGTAATGTAAATGAAAATAAGCAAACAAGTCAAGATAAAAATGGTAATGGAAGTAATTCCATTAAACCAAATATGGTATATATAGTAAGTAATAAAATAGTAAATATTATATAAAAAAATATCGTTGCTTGAATTTAGATTGAATAAAATTAATTATGTATATAATATAGTGTCATCAAGTGCATACCGCCAAAATTAATTATTTGATTTTACAAGTAGTTGATCTAAAAAATGTATGTATTTCAGAATGTAACTGATGAGGATTCAATGGTTGTTCAACACATATTAGCTGTTCGAAAAGGTACAAGGGAAGCCACTAATTTAAATAAAGATGATAAAAATTCACATAGTGATAGTGAAGGTGAAATCAAAAAAGAAATAGAAGAAGTTCAAAATGAAGAAAAATTAGATGAAAACCTTGATGAAAAATCTGAAAAGAAGTCAGAAGACCTACCTGAAGAAAAATCGATTGTCAAACCTGTTGAAATATCAGATACGACTATAAAAACAGAACAAGATGAATCTGAGAAAAATGACGAAACTGAACAAAGTTTAGATGGAAATGAAGATAGTTCTAAGAAAACTATTGAAATGGATGAATATTATGTAAAATATAGAAATTTTTCATATCTTCACTGCGAGTGGAAAACAGAGGAAGAATTATTGAAAGGTGACAAGAGAATTGCTGCTAAACTTAAGCGATTTAAACAAAAAATGGCAAATAATACTAATATTTTTGAAAATGTAAGTCACATAAAAAGTAATGCAAAAATTTGTTATTTACAATATTGTATATTAATTTTAGCTCGAAGAAGAACCTTTCAATCCGGATTACATTGAAGTAGATCGTGTTCTTGATGTATCGGAACAATTGGAAGAACCAAATGCTGAAAAACCAACTAAATACTATTTGGTAAAGTGGCGATCACTTCAATATGAAGACAGTACATGGGAATTAGAACAAGATGTTGATCCAGCTAAAATTGAAGTATTTGAAAGGATAAGATATACACCACCAAAAGATCAGTGGAAGGTAAATATAGAAATATAACTAAGATATAATTGAGTTATTTAATATGATGACTGTAGCCATGCTAATATGAATGTTTATATTATAACCGTATAAATATTTAACATATTGATAATATATTACGTCTGAATGTTACTTTTATACAGAACTCCTAAAATAATTAATAAAAGTTATAACATGCTAGTATTGAAAGTAATTATATAACCTTACATAGAAAACAATATTTATAGACTTTCTGTTTTTTAGTTTTTGGTTAACTAATTACCAAAATAAAATTTTTTTTTTTGTTTTAGCCTAAGAAAAAACCATCTCCTAATGATTGGGTGAAATTAGATAAATCTCCCGCATATAAAAGCAACAACACCCTTAGAGAATACCAATTAGAAGGCCTTAACTGGTTACTTTTTTCTTGGTATAATGGGTAAGTTCAACATTAATTTATTTATTGTTTATGAAACAGTACCTTTACTTACATCAAATAATAATTAACCACCTTAGGCGCAATTGTATCTTGGCTGATGAAATGGGTCTTGGTAAAACAATACAATCATTAACATTTATTCATGCTGTTCATGAATATGGGGTGCGAGGACCATTTTTAGTTATAGCACCATTGTCAACTATTCCAAATTGGCAAAGAGAGTTTGAAGCATGGACTGACTTAAATGTTATTGTTTACCATGGATCGTAAGTATATTTAAAGTTGTATTATTTATATATCTACTAGACTCAAATAATATTGATTTGTCATTAATCAAATTTTAAGTATTAAACATTTAAGTGTAAAATATTGTTAATTATTTATTGTAAAAAAAAATTAATTAAAATTTGGTTTGTAGATCTCATAGTAGAAATATGGTACAACAATATGAAATGTATTATCGAAATGAAAAAGGGGCTATAATTAAAGATATATCAAAATTTGATGTTCTTATTACAACGTTTGAAACCATTATATCTGATTGTATGGAACTTCGAGATATCGGTTGGCGATTATGTGTAATTGATGAAGCTCATCGTCTTAAAAATAGAAACTGTAAATTGTTAGAGGGGTTGCGTGCATTAAATCTTGTAAGTTTTTTTTTTCAATTACTTTTTTTGCAAATAACTTTTTAACTACTACTTGTGTTCCTAAATATTTATTTTAATTTAATCTTAGGAACACAGAGTTTTATTGTCTGGAACACCACTACAAAACAATGTAAATGAGCTATTTTCTTTACTTAATTTCCTTGAACCATCACAATTTTCAAGCTGTGAAGATTTCTTACAAGAGTTTGGTGCTTTGAAATCTGAAACTGAAGTACAAAAACTTCAATTGTTGTTAAAGCCTATGATGTTAAGAAGATTAAAAGAAGATGTTGAAAAATCAATTGCTCCTAAAGAAGAAACTGTTGTTGAGGTAAGCTTTAAATTGTATAATAATTAATTTTATATTAAATATATCATTTATAGGTGGAATTGACTAACATACAGAAAAAGTACTATAGAGGAATTTTAGAAAAAAATTTTTCATTTTTATCAAAAGGAACCACTTCAGCCAATGTACCAAACCTTATGAATACAATGATGGAATTAAGGAAATGTTGTATTCATCCTTACCTATTGAATGGTATTTTTTTTGTGGTGTCAATTATTTTTAATTTTGTAATCTATAAACTCATTTTTAATAGTATATTTTTATTTTTTAGGTGCTGAAGATCAAATTCAATATGATTATCGTAATTTAAACGGTGATGATCCAGATGTTTATTATAAAGCTTTAATTCATTCATCTGGTAAAATGGTATTAATTGACAAATTGTTACCAAAACTCAAAGACAACGGTCACAGAGTTTTGATTTTTAGTCAGATGGTACGGTGCTTAGATATTATTGAAGATTATTTGGTGTACAGAAAGTAAGTTTAATCATTTTAAATTCAAATATTTTTAGTAACTTATTTTGTTCCTTAGATATCCCTTTGAACGATTAGATGGTAGGATTCGAGGAAATTTACGTCAAGCTGCTATTGATAGATTCTGCAAACCTGACTCTGATAGATTTGTATTTTTATTGTGTACTAAAGCTGGTGGATTGGGTATTAATTTGACTGCTGCTGACACTGTTATTATTTATGATAGTGATTGGAATCCACAAAACGATCTTCAGGTAAAATATTATTGCGTTAGATTAGCGTAAGACTTAATAATATTGAATAGGAATAAAAATTATTTTAATTGTAAAATATATTTAATCTTTAGGCTCAAGCACGTTGTCATAGAATTGGTCAACAGAAAATGGTTAAAGTGTATAGACTTTTATGTCGGAATACATATGAAAGAGAAATGTTTAATAAAGCGTCTTTAAAACTTGGATTGGATAAAGCAATTCTTCAAAGTATGAACACGGCACAAGGAAAGGATTTAAACAACAAACAACTTACTAAAAAAGAAATTGAAGACTTATTAAAGAAAGGTTCAAAATCATATTTATTATTAATTATTTTGTTTTTAAACAAAAAAATTTATAATAATAATTGTAGGAGCTTATGGTGCTGTCATGGAAGAAGATAATGCAGGTGATAAATTTTGCGAAGAAGATATAGATCAAATTCTTAGACGTAGAACTCAAGTTATCACATTGGAAAGTGAAAAGGGATCGACCTTTTCAAAAGCAAGTTTTGCGTCTAGTGGCATTCGACAAGATATTGATATTGATGATCCTGATTTTTGGAAAAAATGGGCCAGAAAAGCTGACATTGACACATCTGAAGGAGGAGATCAAGTATGTCATACAACTATTAATTCTAATGATATTTTCTGTAATTGATTTATCATTGTTTTGTTCACAGAATGATTTAGTCATTTCAGAACCACGCCGACGTACACAAATTAAACGTTATGGCCATGATGAAGCTGTTATGGACATGTCAGAACTGGAATCATCAGGTTCTGCTGATAGTGAAGTGGACAATAGCTTAGGAGTTGGGCGTGGAAGAGGTTAATTTAATACTTTTAATGATCTGAAAATAAAATTAATTATTTTTTAACATATTGAAAATTGTTTCAATAGACTACTTTAAAAATTAACACATATTTAAATTAGTACAACTTGAACGCAATGGCGTATAATTTAAAACTTAAAACTTATAATAAATTTGTGTTACAATTGTGAAGAGAAACATTTAAATTATAGCCTCTAAACAATTTTATCAATTTAAATGCAAAGTATTTATATTTTATATTTTTTTGATTAAAAAAAAAACATTGTATGTATATTATTTGTATTAGGACGCCGGACTAGAAAAAGCAAAAAATTACGCACTAAATTTATACCTGATGATTATGTACCAAAAGATGGAGAAGTCGCTTATGGCTGTTGGACCAGAAGTGAATGTTTTAAAGTTGAAAGGGGAATTCTAACTTTTGGGTTTGTTTATTATTTTTTATTAATTTGTTTCTTAATTAATTTTCTTAATTTATGTATTATAGTTGGAGCCGTTGGCCAGAAATCATTCAACATAACGACTTTCGTGAAGGATGGAAAGAAAGTGATGTTGAAGATCTTGCTCGCATTGTTGTTAGTAATTTATGAAATTATAATTATAATATATTATAAGCATACTTTTTGAAATGATTTGAAATTTATTGTTTATATAAAGTTTAATATAGGCTTTAAGATTTCCATAGGGCTGGTCGTGTGTTTGTAGTAATTTATTGCTAGTGTGTATGGAGATCTGGTTGTAGACACGACATATTTTCATATGTGTATGCACATGTCAAATATATGTTGCGTGTATCACCGGTAAATTGATCAGTTTTCATTTCATCATGGTATTCGATCAAATTATTTGATTTTAACATGGACATTTAATCAAGCTTAATATATTATTTTTTTTTTATCATACTACAACTTTTTATTCATCCAAAGAAGCATATTAGCACATTCACTATTAAATATGCAAAATTTAAACATTTTTAAGTTAAATTTCGATAGTTGAGTTATGGAAATCCATAACGTACTATTGCTAATATACTGAATTTTCAGGAGAAGCAATTTTCCGTTCCTTAACATTTCCATTAAAAACAAACCATTTATAACCAGACAAATCATTTTAAAAAAAGGGTTTCTTTTTAAATTATTTAATAATATACTATTGATATTTAAAACGATTCAAATGTGTTAATTAATATTGTAAAGTTATATTTTTAGTACGTTTCGGAATATCATTTTCACTTCACTATATACAGGTATACGTATACGTACAACCCTGGTAAAAGTACGTCTCGGCATAACAAAATAAAAAAGTGCGTTTTGAAATAGTTTGTTTTGATATAGTTAATGATTTGTTCCTATTGTTTGTTTTAACATGGGCAATAGTACGTTTTGGCGTAAAACTAGAAAAAGAACGTTTTGATTTTCTAAATATCATTTTTATGTATGGAAAAGGTTTGTTTTGGATTGACCAGTCATTTTGAATCTCAGATTTGAACGGGAATAGTATGTTTTGATCTATTCTGACAACGATAATCGATGTATTGATATAGTTTCCATAAGAATCGATACTTAACTTAATTTTGCCAATAGCACGTTTTGGATTTCACCTCCAAATTTGTCCAAATTTTTTGTAAGGTGTGCTTAGGATCCAAGGAAAACAAGATGAGGAATCCAGACCTTTTTTTAAAAATTCATATTGCGTAACTAACTATAAAATATATATTATTAACATATTGCTTTTATTAGATTTGAGCGGAGCTAGGAAACAAAGTTTTTTTTTTTTTTTATATCCAGTTTAAAAAATTTCTACCAGAAGGAGTTCTTCGATTTCAACATATAGTAACTTATCTTTTAGCAAATTGGATCAAGATGGTTCTGTAGAAAGGTCATTTTTATCAATAGTTATTAAATGCCACGGTAAAAACCACCGAAAAATTTCGAAAAACCGCTAAAAATTGGATTTTAATTTCTAACGCTTTGTTTATTACCATAAAAATGAATAAAAAATAATATTATAATATTAATTCAACTTACATGATATAATAATTAATGAAAATATAAAATATGCAGACTGATAAACCGTCTCCGCTCAGAATCGTTTTTCTTATACAATGATATAATATCATTGAATTCAAGTTTGATACAATCCATTATACAATGGCCACTTGTAACCTAGTGTACAGCAGATCGACATTCACTTACCCACTTTTTTTTTTTTTATAGATTTTATATTGTTTGCGTTTTTATCGTGGGGATGAAAAAATACGGTCCTTTATTTGGGATCTCATAACACCAGATAATATTTCAACTGACGATTCTCCTTCTCATGGTGGTAAGTGTTTTATAAATATTTAATGTACCTAGTTATTATAATTTAATAGTTATCAAAATAATAGTTTATCCATATATATATCATTATTTTTTTATTGTATCTCCCCATTCTGCTGACCCTAATTTTCATACAAAAAATTTTCATGCAAATTTTCGTAAATTTATTGATAAATCAAGAAAAATGTATTAGCTTTCATACTTTTTTGCTTAATTTAAGCATGCCCAATGATACTGAAAAAATTAACTTAATTAAGCTCATATGTGTAAATATATAATAATAAATAATATCAATAGTCCTTAAAAGTAGTAATATTAAAAGTTTCACTTCTAATAGTAAAATATTTTTTATCTAAATTAAATTAGTTTACCTCGCTTATGCTAATATTATTGTCCAGCACCAACTTTTTAATATTTTTACAGTGATTATAATACAATTAAAAAATGATGTCTGTCAGCTATTCGTAAAAACCCATCAACATTAGTATTATATTTTTTTTCACTCTGATATTGAATTAGTTATTTACTACTAATTAAACGCCATGAACCCTTTAAATAGAATTTTGAAATATTCCATAATAAAAAAAAACATGAACAGATTTTTCAGGATGATGAAATCTTGAGAGTAAATAATCATTTTAGGGTCAGAGATATATTCAAGTGTAATATTATATTTTAAAAGTCTTAACAACATCCACTGTAACTTCCCTGAAACTTTATATAAGTAATTTTTAACAGTTTATGATTGTGTGGACTGTAATCTTTCTCCCATAAATTAAATTATATAATTTCTCACAACCAAAGGTAATGCATAGAAGCTCTTTTTCTATCTGGCTGTACCTCCTTTCACATTCTGTTAATGCTCTTGAATTGAATGATATTGAGTGGTTTTTTTTTGCAAAAGAAGCACCAAAGTCTTGACTTGATTCATTACACTCTATGACTATACCTAATTTACCGTCAAAACACCTTTAAGACAGGGGCTTGAGCTAATTTTTCTTTTAATATTGCAAGGCCTTCATTAACCTTAGACCGATGCCATTCCGTTTTAGTTTTAATAAGATTTTTCTCAACGGTTCTGTTAGCTGCGAGTAATTAGGGATGAATTTATTGAGGTAGTTTAGCATACCTAAGATTTTCTTTACTTCTTTTTAATTTGTTGGGCTAACAAGCTCTAAAATAGATCTGACGTGATCTGGATCCAAACTTTTTTCTGAGAAGATCATACCAAGAAACTTAACCTCAGAAATTTTAAATTGCAGGTTTTTAACATTACATTTTTAATTTTTTTCTGTTGCTCTTTTAACTATTAAACTTTATATTTCATCATGTCATGTCTCTGACCTAGTTATATATTATTAAGTCATCAAAGTAGATTTGTTGGTTTGATATACCACTAAATGTCTCTTTATTGTATTTCTGAAAAATGTTTGTAGCGGAACTTAATCTAAATGGGAATTCGTTGAATTCTCACCTCCTAAATGGTGTTTAGAATGTACAAATATTACTTGATTCAATGTCTAATTCCATATACCAAAACCCATATTTTAGACTAAGAATAGAGAACCATTTTGTATCAGCAAAGTTAATTATTATTTCTTCTGAAGTTGGTAATGGATAATGGTCCCTTTTTATTGCTTTATTTAATTAAATTGTGTCAAGAAAGATTTGTAGGTCAACACATTTTTCAACTATTATGATACTATGGACCCAGTCTATAGTTTGTTAATTTACATTTGATACTATCCCTTTGTTTTTTAAATCAATTTATTTATTTTTAAACTTGTCTTTAATTGTTACTGGTGTTGTCAGGGTTTAAACACTACACACGTAATATAAAGTTCAACACATTTATTACTCAACGTAAAATAAAATATAATTAGTAAACAAACAATGAGCTGCACATATGCCTAACTTGGGTATGGCACGCTCGTAGACGTACCACCGCTGTGGACGTTGGAACTAGACTAACTTAACAACTAAATAGGAAACTCAAGGAGGGGTGTCCTTGCGCGGAGTCAGTGTTGCCAACAACTCGGCCGTCCTGACACCAATACGTCCTCGTATTGACTCCCCTCAGATATAGTCATCCAGGTAGGCTGGTCAACGTTTGACTCTTTGGTTTGGTGTATCTTCTGGCACCTCATCACGTTGTGTGTCGGTCCCCTCTTTAATGCTGTCGTCGGTGCGTGCGTTTTCTTCATTTGAACTGTGGTATGTGCTATTGTTCTCCTCCTCGATGTCACCTTCATCTTCAACCAGTCGCCACTGCTTCAACTGCGATACGTAAGCAGTCGTACTGAAGATGCTCCCACCATCCCTGGACACACTGGCAACTCGATAGGTGTCATTAGGGAGTACTTTAAGTACTTGTAAGGGACCCCTGCATTTCACCTGTAATTTTGACGCTTCCCCGGCTATTGGTGGCGTGGACATTGCTACAGCCTCTTCAGTATCGAACACCACATTGTCCACACGTTTGCGGTTGTAGTACTCTGCCATGACCTTTTGTTTCTCACAAATTCTATTTCTTGCTTTTTGTTGGGCTGTCTTTGGGTCTTGACACGCAGTACTGTATTCTTCTTAATATTCTTCTAATGCTTGGCTATTCCTAGGGCCATACTCTTTATTACATTTTTTAAACTTATGAATTGTATTTAAAATACCTTTACGTTTTTCATTGACATAATCATTACTCGACTCATGTTTACATGTTTTACTGTAATATTTTTTTTTTAAGGGTTTTTGTCTCTTTCTGTGGTTTTTTTGGTTCCTTCTGTATAGCCAGCACAATACTCTTGTCTTCCATTTCTTCATGTTGAATTTTTGCAATTTTTGTTAGTCTGCATAGATCTATTGTCTTCTTGAATGTTTTTCTCTCATCAACGTTCCTTGCATAGGGCCATTACCAATTCCAAAGCCACTCCAAACAATAACAAAATGTAGTTAAATTAAATAAATTTAAAATTCAAATATTAAATATTTTCTGGCAAATAAAAATTACTACATTTGAATAATCGATGAAACTTAATAAAAATTAAATGATTTAAAATCAGAATAATATTTTTTTCAACAGCTTCAATTTTGAGTTTTAAAAAAAATGTTTGTAAATGAATATGTTATAAAAATTGTAATATTGAATAGTATTATATATATTTGGAGCATTCATAGCATAAGGTATAATGCTAGTTATATAAATAACAAATAATAATATTTTTTATTAGTTGAAATTTCTCAAACTCTATTTAAAAACATGGTGTCATATAGAATACTATATATAACTATCAATTAACATAGGTCAATATATTTCATAAAAATTTAAATTAAAAAGTAGAGCAATTTATTTTGTGATAAAAGAGTAAATATTATGATATTTTAATATTTACAATATTATTCGTAACTTATAATTTATATAGATCATCTGAGCACAATTTTATTTTGAATTTTCAGTTATTATATAGTTATAAGCAGGGCTCTGAAATTTATGAGCTAAAATGTATTGTGCATGCTTATGCACTAAAACTAAAGCTTTATTAACATAATATGCATTAATATGATTAAAATTTAAAATATGTAATATCACTTAAACTTAGTCAAATATGCAAAAATATCCAACACACAATTTTGTATTTAGATTGTATTTACTATGAAAAGAATTTGTATCCAAATTAAATTTTTAATGTGCAGCTTTCTGAGAAATATGCAAATGCATAAAGTTTCGGGCCCTGGTTATAAATTTAATTATAATTAAATGGCTATAAACTGCAGTTAGAGGACTAGGAAATATAAATTTACAATTCACTGAGAAAAATCCAAAGTAAAATAAATCACTAAGCAATTATTTTTAAAAAATTAACTGGAATTTGGAATTAAATAATTCAATTTTATATATTTACTAAAGGGTTGCCCTTGCCAAACATTAATTTTTTTTAACTTCTATATAGAAACTCGCGTCTTATTATGTATCTACGAAAGATGCACATATATGAATATTGTACTTATTCTAGTAGCCCCATCTTCCTTTGGGAGATAAAATGTTAATAATTAAAAACACAATGGCTGCACTGCTGAGTCGTATACATGGACTTTGTGTTGAAATGAAAAAAACATCAGTCAAATTTTTATGAGGAATAGAGGTCCAACCAGTACTATTTTGTGCAGCAGACTCTTATAGTATAGATATTGCCTATGGTACCACTAAAAATTATATATTATGTATTATATTATATCCTAATAAAATTATAATTATCAAAATAAAATTATATACTACTGTACTAGGTACTTAGTCTTTTAAAGGTTATCAATATAATAACTTTAAGTGATAAAATATCTGCTTATTATCTATGTTATGCATAAAAGTTTTGTATATCTTATCATCCACAAATTTTAAATCATAGATATTAAATGTTAAAATGCAGAGGTGAGAGCGATCTTTTGGACCCAGAGGTGAAGCCCAAGGGGTTTGTACCAGTTGGCAGAGTTCCCTAACTTATATATAAAATAATTTAAATAATACATCAAAATAATTCTGTAAGATTGTCGCAAAAGTTGTTGCAAAAAGTTCAGGATTATACACGATAACTGAAGAATAAAATCGAAATTTTACCTTGTAAAATTATGATATCTGTAGCTCTATTATTATATCTGTTAAAAACAATAAACCAAAATGACAACTAATGATAACTATAGCTGGAGAAAATAAAATTGGGAGTGTACATGATAAGCCATGATAAGCCTCAAATCATCACGATCTACCAATAATTATTGTGACTATTAATGAGCCCGTGACTAATAGTAAATATTCTTAATTGTCACTGTTTTGCCGTGTTTCTAGATATCATTCATTATTAAATGTTATACCAATTCTATGATCAAATTATTTTATATTATTATATTAAGTGATTCTTTTGTATTTTTATAAATAATTCGGTTGTTATCTTGGCAATCTGAAATCGAACTCATAAGAAATTAAATATCATATGAATTCAAATAAATTTAAAAATACGGGGACTAGTGGGTAGGTACTGCTCTTCTGTACAGTAGTTGTTGTAACAAATGTCTTATATTTGAACTCAGTGATAAATCATAGCTTACAAAAAGGAGCGGAGTTATTGTCTTTTAATTAATACTTAATGGTGGTCGTTGCAGTACAGATGTGTATAATATTGTACAATGTTCATGATTTACTTATAAAATAACACACAGATATTTTTATTAATAAATTACCATTAACAAAAACATCGTTACATTTACAAATCGTTATATTAAATATACCACTAGATTTATAAACTATAATTATCAGGGTTGTATGCTTTAGGTTAATAAATAAGACACATAAATGAATATACCTAATTTCTAACCAGTTAATTATTAATAGGGCTCTGAAGTTATAGAAGTTTAAAAGGTAAAGTATACATGTAAATATGCATGAAAAAATTTCAAATATGAAAATTTTTTTATAAATATTCATAAAAATTCAGTTTAAAATTTAAAAAAAAACCATAATATATTGTTACCAATTTCCACTAATTAATGTAAAATATGGATAATTAATTTATATTATGTATGAAAATCACGAAAAATGCAATTTTTCCTTTAAATTGAAAAATATTCATTTAAAATTTTTGATTTTTAAACACCATTGTAAATCTACGATTTCTAGCTCATAAATCAAAAACATAGAATAATATGCAACTCCTACAACTACCAAGCCCTAATTATCTACTTTATTTGTTCAATAATATTTCGTACCACCCATATGAAAAAAATAATTTTTTTATCAGCTGTCTTATTAAAATAGAAGGTTTGTCACCCCTGCATTCCTCTATTGTCTATACTCGTAATGTTAGTAGTTTTTATCCACAATATTTTGACTTGACTTTTACAATCAATACCATTTTCAAAACCAGTTTTTGTTGGTAAATCAGTATTCAGCAAAATTAGCATAAACCATTATTGCCTATTATGATTTGTTTACTCATTATTTACCCATTTTTTTCTAAAAAAAATATATCTATTACAATAATAAATAAAATAAGTACATTATTTACAAAAAAAAATTTAACTGAAAATATTTTAATTTAAAAAAAAAATGAAGAATTAGGATTATAGTTAAATATAATATTATAACTTTATTTTTAAAGGCCAAAGTTCTCGCGGATCTAAAAAATATCGAAAGCCTAAACAAAAAGATTTTAACTCTACTCAATTAATTGATGAAGAACATTGGAGTAGAAACAATAAATATGATGGAGATTTGTTTTTAGAAAGCAATTACCGTAAACATTTAAGCCGACATGCCAACAAGTTAGTATTTGTTTACATTTTAATTATATTTTTTAATTCTCATATATTAATTGTATTTTATATTATAGAGTTTTATTGCGAATCCGTATGTTGTATTACATTAAAAGTGATATAGTTGGTGAGTTTGCCTTACAAGTCGCAGAAGGTGTTCATGTCAGGTCAGTATATTATAATTATATTTTATTAGAAATTATTATAAAAATGAATAAAAGTTTATCATTTTAATTGAACATTTTCTGATTGAGAAAATAAAATTTCTTAAATAAAAAAGAAGTTATAATCGATTAGTTGCAAATAGCATAGATCACTTGTATTTCAAGCTTCAATTAAATTTGGAAATCATGTTTGTACTATATTTTATTATGATCTACATTATTTTTCATCACAAAAACTTATAAAATCAATAGATTAAATTTTGTTAAACAAAAATGTATCTTGCTACATGAATTATTATTTTATGTATAATTAAAATTATAAATAGAAAATAAATTATTAGTTATTGTTTTTTAAAATTACTCAATAATATTTGCTAAATGATTTTTTTTAGTTATTGAACACTTAAGTGTGTCAATGGGAGGTATATTATGTTTAGTAATATTTATTTTATTATACTGTGGCACATTCAAATGTTTAACTCTATTTACTAAATGTAATCCAAAATAAATAATCTGTCCTATATAATGTTTATCAATGTATAAACAGTTCAATTTGTCAACATAAGTGTCTTATTTTAATTTTAGTTAAATAATAAGTTTAATTTTGAAATGTTATGTTTATACTGAGAGAACACGCCAGTTCTGCACATGTTAACCTGACGGCTGCTCGCTCCCCAAGGCTCTATTTCCCCCTCCAAGATTCGCAATGACAATAGCCAACAGCTATGGGTTTGTGCCTCGAGGGTAGGGACAGAACAAACTGATTTTCATCGGGCCGCGGCATGTTCTCTCGGTGAACAGAGTATAGCTTCATATCGTCCCCGTTCATGCAAAACACACTAAGTCCAAAAATCGGGTTTTCCGGTTTATTGTCATATAAAATTCAGTTTAAAAATATCTACAATATGCTGTATTCAACTAAGTCCCAATATTATTTAAAGATGTTTAATATACAATTCAAAATGTTAACTAAGTCCATTCGATGTTTTCACGTTTCGATGTTAATACGCAGAATATGGAATTATAGATTGGAAAAATTGCAAAAGCTCATACTCAAAAATCATGTTTTTGGACTTAGTGTGTTTTGCATGAACGGGGACGATATACATTTATTTAAGCATATAATAGCATTCTAATGATACTTTTGATAACGGACAAATTATTTTATTCAAACAAAAGCTGAAAAAAACATAAAATTAATTGAACAACTATTATTATTTCTTTTTAAATATATTACTTTATATATATATATATATGATGACTTCTTAGTATACATATTATTTTAAATACCTCTTTTTAGTGCTTTACCGATTAATACGCCAATTTGTGATTTAACTCCTGCACCTTGGTGGGACCGAGACGCTGATCGTTCACTTTTGGTTGGCACGTATAAACATGGTTTTGAGTCTTACAATCAAATGAGAAGTGATCCGGCTTTGACTTTCCTTGCCAAATGTGGTCCACCGACACTGTATGTATTTATTTATTCTTTTGTCTAGTATAATATATTTAAATAAGTAATAAAGTAAAATATTTCTTTATTTAACTTGTGTTAAAATAATTTAAATTTATTTATAAGTGAGGAAAAAGAAACATCTATAACAAAATTCAATGATGTTGAAGAAGGTGCTGAAATACCTTTAAACTCTGAGGAAGTATCATCAGAGCCACCAACTCCTTTAGCTACTGAAGAGAATGCTTTAAGTATTGCTATAGCACCACCAACACCAACATCTACTACAGATGAATACATATGGCCATCAATTGGTGATCTTAACAACAGGGTGAGACGACTAATAAGTACCTGTCAAAGAAACTTCAAAAAAGAAGAACAAAAGCTGGTGCAAAAAGCTAAGGTTAGTAATATTTTTAAGTACAGAATAGTATTTAGACAACATAGTCGAGATTTACCAATTAAAAAATATTCTATATAGGGAACTATTCTATCCTATTTTAAATTTACAAAATGTTTAAGTGTTAATCAAGCATTTATGCCTTAAATATTTAGCTAATAACCCTAGATATGCTGGCTAAGAAAGTTTTCAATTCATTTATATTTATATTAAGTAAATATTCAAAATTGATAGGTTAGAATAGGTATACTATTTTTATTACTACTGTGAATTCTGGAACTCCAAAATTGGTATTTGTTTCTATGCAGGATGTGACCATGTATAAATATGATCTCGGATCGCCGAGATCTTTGATGGATTCCATCAGTTCATCACAGGCATTGCCGGTAAATCTTTTTGTGTGTGTCTTGTGAATATTCTATATTATTTTTATTTTGTTTTCGTTTTTATTTGATTTTCATTTGAACCTTTCATTCAGCATGACACATAGATTAAAATATTTTGAAATATTTGTTTTGTGTTTCATTATGATTTATTGATCAGTCACCAATTAATAAGTTTAATTTATAAAACTATTATTTTTGTAAGTACATTTAAATAGGGAGGGCAATTTTAAAATATGATTAAAATATTACATCATAGTTTGGTCCTTGGCCGTATTTTATTTTACTATTTATTTAATAGAATCTTTATGGTAATTGGTGGTTTTGGTGCAGGTTATTTTTTCATGAAGTAAGAAGATGGAAAATTAATCTTTGAATTTATCATACTTTATCTTCATCAGTACAAATTTGTTGGTCAACTGTCATGCACATTTGTGGTATATCTATTTAAAGTATATATTGTTCAAAATGTAATACAAAGATTGAAAAATAATTGTTCAGGACACACCTTAAAATATGTTTTATTATACTAGTATGTGGTCACGCTATATTTTATACATTTTTATTTATTCATATAAAAAAATGTTAATTATTCCCATATTCCAAGGAACCAAAATTAACTTTGAATTAATTTACTTAAAATAACACGTAATTTTAAATCTGAAAATATGTATGATTTGGGTTATATAAAGGCATAAATGTCTGTATAAATATTATGTTTTCTTTGCGTTGGTTTCGTGTGTGTGAATGATGTGGTAGTATTATTGATATGGCCTTGTGTGTCGTTGAATTAAATTTTTATTTTTTGTATATATACACGCGCGCACTCACACACATACACACACACAATATATTTTGACTATTTTATATACAATATAGTAAACTTGAAATTTCATGCTAATAATTATAAAATTCAAGCATTTTTATAATGAATTTTAACAATTTTAGTAAAAATATTTTAATATTAAAATAAACTATATAGGTAATAAACTAATTTAAAATTAAAAAAAATATTTATTATTATTGTTTTTTAGCATTGAAAAAGAAAAATCACTTTTTGAGAAATAGAGATATGTTTTATTTTACTCCTTGGAATATTTCATGAATTAAATTTGTTCCTTCTTATTGTTTTAAAATTAAATACTAGGTATTACTTTGTTAGATAGACATTTATTTTTGCTATTCCAATAAATAGCTATTGAATAGATTTTCTTTATTTGTTTAATTAAAATGATATCATATTTATCTACCACAAAAGTTGTGTGTGTTATTGGTAGTTGACTTGACTGATGAAATTTATTCTTTTTATTTTTATGTTAAAAAAAATTGTTTCATTACATATAGGTACACAGCAGTTTATATATTTGCATCATAACATTTATTAATTGCTAAATACAAATAACTTAATGATTCAACATATTATTTTGTATTCACTTTAATACTACATGTAGCTCGTCTTTAATATAATTAAACTTTTAAAAATTCAATAAATATAATCTACACGACTCAAAGATATTTTTTAAATTTTTATAATGAGATTAATTACTACCTTCCTACTTGATGGATTTTTGTTTTATTAAAATTTTTTTATTTACATAGACATTTAATGTATTTAGAAAGCTTTTACACGTGTAGTTGGGCGGCTAACACCTTTTTAAAATTATTTTATTATTTAATATTTATTGATCGATTATTTAACTAGATATATCTAGTTGTTTGGTAGATTTCTGTAGAAGATTTGATTTCATAAGCTAAAATAATATAATGTTATGGTTTTTATGTGAATTTTCGTTAAATATAATATTATAGTATAGTAGACCTGTTGACGTAGATTATGTCTAGTTGCATGGATGTTTGTGTGTTCGTAGCTAGGAGAATCAACGTGCGCAGCGACGTCAGGTACAGCCCAATTATCAGGAGACGTTGCCAGCCTCCTTGGTACGGGACAGCCCGGATGGGACTGGCAACAACTGGCCATGTATCTTTGGGTTCGTATCTGAGTTCATCAAAATTACTTGCTGGTCAACAAATAAAATGGATTTGCACTAATACTAATAGTTATGGAATGGACTTGCTTTTTAATAATTAATATTAAAAAGTGGTAAATTTGATCATGGGATTTACTTTTAAAAATAATTTACTTATTAACATGATTTACATAATAAAAAGGAAAACTAATTTAAAATTTAATTATTTCTTACAATTTTGATGGTAAATAAACAAATATATCAATACAAATTATTGATTTATCTATCAAATCAATATTCTTAATATTATATTCACCTTTTAACCTTTTAGTAGGCGCGTATGCGAATTTTGTACGACAATTATAGATTTATTGACGTAACTTTTATCTACTTATACCGATTAATACATGGGTTTTTCCTATTCCAAAATGACATATATTTTATAAACACTTAATAATTCTTATCTTATCTTACGTATTTTTCAAATTATTATTGATGTATATTTCAGTCGACTCCGTCCAATCACACAAAATATGTCTCTCGCCTGGTCATAATATTGTTATATTTTTTCATATAAATATTTTTCTTTTTGTTTTTTTTTCATGTATTGCTTTTTTTTACCTCATTATGGTTGATATTATATATTAACTTGGTAATAAAAAAAAATCGTGTTTTATTACTACATTTTAATTATCTTTAAAAAATATAAAAAAATTGTATATAAATAAGAGTAAAATGTTTCCATAAAATATTTCTATTAAAAATTATTTATTTATCCTTCATTTTAATTAAATATAGATAAAAAGCATTCTGTCGTATAAAGTACGACACGCGCCTGCTCTTGTAATACACAGTAGCGGGTCTGCCAAAAGGTTAATAGTTTATTATTAAATTTCCGAACAAAACTTATGTACATATTTGTTTAATATAGTCATATCTATGATTATTATGTAATATACATATTATATAGTTAGTTCAAACTGCCCAGATGAAATAGGAGACTTCATATCTAAATTGGATGTTTCCATTTTATAAACTCTTAAAATAGCAAATTTATGTTATTTGTACATATTAGATTGTTAATTTAAATATTATATTGAACTGACCAATTCTAAAATTTAAAAGTATTATTGTCTATTGGAAATCTATTACTGATATATTTTAATTTGAAAGCGAGTTATGAGTGTGAAAAATATTTATCGCAGAATCCAGATAATGTTGTAGATAAAGTCTGATAGTTGATTATATTAATACTAACACAAATTGAGTAGCTAAACATAAGTTTGTTATGTTATGCATTTGTAAGACGAAGACAACAGATTTCAAAGTGACATCCTCTTAATGCATAAAGAATACATTTACATTATGAGCAAAAATTTGACATTTTATATATACATTTGTGTAAATGTAATGAAATAAAACAGGATTCCTTAATTCCATGTTAGTGTAAAAAGAATAAATAAGAGAAAACTAATTTTACATTAGGTCTATATCTTACATGTTGTAAATTGATGGTGTTAAAAAATAAATGATAAGAGTAAAAAAAAATATTCTATTGTATTTCGCATTAATATAATATTATCTATTAATTAGAAATCCTCTGCAGTAAAAATTCAAAACCCATTTTCTATATTATCTAATACTATGGCTTAACAATGAAAAATACATTAAAAATTTAATATTTTTAATATTACTTGCGTCAGTCAGTTAATAATGCTATTTTATTGGCAAGAATAATGACTAGGGTAGGTATATATGATCATATATGATTACAATTTGATTATGCCTCAATCAAAATAGATCATATTTTATTATAAAACATATGGTTGATTTGTCTATTATTGAATGAATACTTCTCTGCATTAATTTATGCTTGTTAGACCTTTTAAATTTTAAATTTTTTGTTTTTTAAATCTATTTACTGTTTATGAGATGTACAATATACAATACATTTGATAAGTGATATTTTAATTTTAAGTATAATTACTTAATATTTTAGACATTGTATGTTGTTAACATATTTAATTTTTTTAAGCAGAGTATAAATAGAGCTGTAATTATGAACTAAGTGATACCATGTATTAACTTATGGTATGTATGTACACCGTACAGTTCAACATAAATTAATTTGATAGTCACAGTCTTATAATAATGAAGCAATAATTTATTATTATTATTGAATTTTTATTATAATTTAATAGTTATACGATTTCTTGATTAATATGCTTTGTTATTTGTACAAAATATGAGTTTTAATAACACTGAAAAATTTAAATCTCAAAATATATTTTTTTTTATTTGTACATATAATTTTTTTAGTTAGTACCTAGCACAATTTATTTTAAATAAATATACATCAAAATGTTGAACTAAATCCAATATAAGTTACTTTTGTATAACCCAGAGTGCTTAAGTGGCATTTATAATATTCTATTTATTGTATTTATTTACTAATTGTGTGTTACTATTTAAAAACAAATGAAGTGAGTACTGAACGTAGTGTTTGGGATAACTATGCATGTGGAAAAAAACTTGTGTAATTATATTATACATACAAACATTCTATGTTTCGTTTAATTTAAATGTTTTTTAAATTGCTCATGACTCATAAGTTTATAAACTATAAATTTCATACATATTGATGAATGGAAAATCTTAATAAATCTTAAGTGTATTTTCACACACTTTTTTTATGTTATTATGTATATATTTATATGTCAAATTTCAGCCTGACTTTAACGCTTGATGCCTGTGTGTGTGTGTATTATCTTAGTTTGCTTTTCTTAGCTATATTAATTAATTTGAGTGCTTGGTCCACGGAGCATGAATATTGTTTAGTATTATAATTTTTAATATCAATAAATTTATTATCATGATTAAATGAATATTAAATATACTTGAATTTATTCACAAAATATAATATTCAACTTACATTTTTTGGTATTTCTATTGTAAAATATTTATCTGAATATTAACTAATCTTATGGTTTTTATTATTATTTTGTTTTACATAGAAGGTGGAAAGACGAGAGAAATATGAACAGTTTGTTAGAGAACGCGAACGTCAAAGACTTGAAATAAGTCAGAAAAAATGGACGCGTAAAGAAGAGCAAGAATTTTATAGAGCTGTAACTGCTTATGGTGTTGATTATGACAGGTATTTATAATACTGGTTTACAAATTAATTAGAACATTTTTTTTATATGTAAAATTTTAACAAATTATGTATTTCAGGGTTTCGAAGACTTATAATTGGACTAAATTTAAGAGTGTTGCTAGATTAGAAAAGAAATATGACGATACATTAACAGAATATTTCCGATCATTTTATGCAATGTGTAAACGTTTATGTGGTCAAACTTTAACAGAAGAAGAAGGTAATAGAATATTTGTGTAAAATTTTGTCTTTTTTGTTCAATATTAATTGTTCCTTATCATAACAAATATCTATAGAACTATGTGATTTTCCAATGGAAATGATAAATGAAGAAAGAGCTCGGCGAGCACTTGATCGTATTAATTTAATTGTTAAAATACGAGAAGAAACATTGAATCATCCACGTCTAGATGAACGATTAAAAGGTTGTCAAGTATCTGCTGATGTACCTGATTGGTGGCAACCGGGAAAACACGATAAAGATTTACTTATTGGAGTATCAAAGTAATTTTTTCACACATGACTAATAAGCCTTTTTATATATTACATTTCTATTATATATTGTTATTATTTTAGGCATGGTTTAGGAAGAACAGATTTTTATATTCTTAATGACCCTGAATTATCATTCCGAGAAATTGTTCAAAAAAATCTGTTATCAGCTGTATCGGGATCGTTTACCACAGAAATGCTTGAAGCCGCTAAATTGGAAACAACCAAAACGGAAGCAGCTAAATTAGATGCAACCAAAATGGAAGCAGTGAAATTGGATACTGCTAAAACGGAAACTACTAAAACAGATATAATTAAACTAGACATTGTTAAAACCGAAGCCATCAAAGTAGAATCAACCAAGTCTGAAACTATTAACTCTGAATTACCAAAATCCGAAACTGCTAAAACTGAAAAAGTGGATTCGGAAATAAAAATAGAATCAGTTGAGTTACAAGAAATGGAAGTAGAAAAAGTTGAAATCAATGATGATTCAACTCCTGATAAAACTGAGTCAACAAGAACTGAAGCTATTGTCGCTGATATAAATGGAGATATTGAAAATACTACCAATGAAAAAGTAGAAATACCATCAAATGAAGAACCTAAAGAACAGATGGATGTTGACAGCGAAGACATTAAAAAACCAAGCACTTCTGATGATAGTTGTAAAGTAGAAGAAGAAGTATCTGAAATTCCTACAGAGCAATTTAATGATAAATGTTCTGATGAAATAGTTGACCAACAAAATGAAGATGAAAAATCAGAAAACACTACAAGTGTAGAGAACAAACAGACTGATGTAAAAGAGAAAGATGAATCACAAAATAATGAAGTAGAAAATACTGTAAAAAGTGATGATGTTGAATCTAAAATTGAATCTATTAAAAATGTCATTAATGAGGTTCCTTTAGACACAATAAGTAAATCTGATACTAAAGTTATTGAACCCACTGTTAAATCTAAGGAATGTTCATCATCTGTAGAGAGTGTAGATCGATTAAAAGCCATGTTTCCAGAACTGGAAGTTGTGCACAAAGATGTATCTTGTCCAACCATTGATAAATTACCAATACATAAGCCTTTGCAACAGATCGACCAAACCATTGCTCATCTCTTAGCAACAAGCTATCAAAACCCAATTAAATGGCCTAAAGTAAGTTTACTAATGATTTTAAATTTTGATCTGATTTTAATTTGCTTGTTTTTTCGAATAGGAACATGCACTAGTGGTCCGTTTACAGCATATAGTAGAGTGTGTTGAAACAGGAGAATGGCCTGTAAGCAAGAAATTTTCTGCTTATGCTCAAAATCCAAGTATGTGTGGAATGGGAATAGAAGAAACTGATATAACCGTTTCTAAAAGAGATGTTGGAGTATCTCATGATCATTTAAATTTATCCGATATCCATAATGAACATTCAAATCTGAAAGCCAATAATATTATGGCTCATTCAAACCCTAATTTGAAACGTAAACGTCACATTGCTATTGATGTTGAGACAGAAAGAGGTACCTACATTTGTTTATTTATCTTTCATAATTATACTTTTTTGGTTTATACATATACATATTTAAATTGTTACAGCTAAGCTGCATGCATTATTAAATACCAATTCTATCCCAGCTCATCCAATCAAACACTCTCCAGCTCCTATGTGGGAGCAAACGGATGAATCACTTTCTGAAGATTCAAGGTTAGATCTTAGGTTATAAAGTATATTTGCAAATTTATTAATTAAACATTTAAATATAGGCGTTCAACTCCAGTCACACCACAGCTCATTCAGCCTCCACCAGCTCACCAACAATCTCACAATACACCTTCACGATTAATGAACATGGGGTATGATCTTAAAGTGTTAAACAATCCAAAACCTCCAACTACTGTCGCTGCTACAACACAATCTACTGGACCTATGGATTTATCTTCTGGGTTAGTACTTGATATAAAATGCCACTTCCATGTTAAAAAAAATATCCTTATTTTATCAATATAACTTCAATAATTTGATGATAGCAAAAAATACCAAGTTCATTTTTAACATTTTCTTTTAAAATTAGTGGTGGCACGCAAGCTGGATGCATGGATTTAAGTTCAGGACCAAGAACATCATCTGTGTCTATTAATGAGGCTCAAGATTTTTCAATGCCATTCAAAAATAAACCAGTTCAAAATATAACTCAAACGCCTTCATCTACACCTCCAAAAAGCAAATTAGATGACATGTTAAACAAATTAATGCAAAAAAAAAATTGTGTACGCACACCACGCGTGAGTACACTAAATAATGAAATAATAATAATTAATTTATAATTACCTATAAACAATGTTATTTAATTTTTCTTTTTAGCCGGCTGATGAACCTGTAGTTGGAAAGGAAATGAAACGGCGTAAACTAGATGAAATTGTTTTTGGTCTCTCTGCTGCTAAAGAACAACAATCGTTACCTTCATCGGAGCAGAAAAAACACTTGGCATCAACTCCAACTGCTCACAATTACCCAACGCCTTCAAATAAATCACAACAAAATATGACACAACAAATAGGAGCTGCTCATAGACAATCTACTAAAATAGATCCACTTGCAGCGTATTTATCTTCTCAAGTTCACGAACAGCAATCCAATTTACTCAAACAACATACAACTTTACAACAACAACTTGCTCAACAGCAACAAGTGATACAATTTAATACATTTTTTCTAAATCTTAATACTTAATTTTTTTTTCACTCCCAGGTATTAAAAATGTCTCAAGCATCAAGTGTGTCATCGGTATCTCAAACACAACGTAAAATGTATGAAGCAATGATGGATAGTATGGCTAAGAGTACGGCCGAGTACTCGGGGAAACTAAATGCTTCATCGTTTTCTCAAGAATCTAAAGTATTAGTTATTTCATTTAACAATTTATTTATTAAAAATAATATTTTATCTTAAATTAATTAATATTATAGGTTAATAAATGGTTAGCTGAACAAAACGCGCTGATGACTGACCAACAAATGTCTGCAGACTTCTTGTCAGCTCCAAGAAGAAGAAGGCCAAGAGTAGATCCAACATTATTGGATTGGAAAAAATTGACTGGTGAAGAAAATGTATCAGTCATAAATAGAACAACGGGAAAAAAGGTAAAGTTTTATTAAATTAATATATACTTTATTTTATGTTTTTATATTAAAATTAAATTGTGTCTTTAAATACTAATTAATTAAATAATATTTAATATTATTTTTTATAGTTAACTGGTACGAAAGCTCCACAGTTGAAAAGAATTGGACAATGGCTGCTTGAAAATCCAGCCTATGATGTGGATCCTAAATGGGCAGACTTAGTTAAAGAACGAGGGAATCTCACTCACGATTTACAAAAACGTTTACCTCAAACAGAACGCAAGAAAGGGCCTGGTCGACCACCGATGCAATCTGGAGAAAGCCCGTCTAGTCAATCTTTATCGGCTAATCAACCTTCGACGTCAATGGCACCAAATCTTTCATTCCCGTCATTGGCATCAGCAGGGCTTGGTGGATTAAATCCGTCTACTTTGTTATCAAGTTTATCTATGGGAAATTTTGACCCTAAAAATAATCCTTTGCTTATGCCATTTAGTGGATTGCCAAATATTGGTGCCTTAGGAGGTATGGGAGGATTGAGTAATATGAATTTAACTAATTCCTTATTTGCCAACCTTGCTGGTCTAGGCCTTCCTGGTCTGGCTGGTATGGATCCATCGAGTATGAATGACAGTTCTCATTCAACACAAAGTCCACAGTCGAACCCTAAGTCTTCCAAATCAAGGAAATCTGAGTCTAATACCAAAAATATTCCATCTTCATCAGCTAATGTACCTTCGAGTATGCCTGGTTCATTGCCATTTTTCTTCCCAAATCCTAGCTTGTTATATACGCCTTTGGGTTTGGGTGGATTAAATCCATTTTCATTACAACCAGGAGCTATATCATCTGCGTATGATAGCCTTTCATTGTTGAATGGTAGTTTAAATGTGTCATCGCCTAACACATCCCAAAACTCGCTTTCACGTCATAAAACTTCAAGTAGCCGAGGTCAGAATTCTAATGTTAGCACTGTTACATCGTCTAGCCAAAGACAACCAAGAACTAGTACACATCATCTTCCATCACCAACTCAAAGTTCTACAGATCTTCTCGAGAATTTAACACGAGCTGGGCGTAATTTACCTCCTCCAGATTTATCAAAAAACCGTAGTTCAAGAGATGTTGACAATCTACGTTCCCTTATGTCAAGTATTCCATCATTTAATGTATTGGCAGCTGGAGCCCTAGCAAGTGGTAATGACTCAAAGAAAACTAGAGAGCAAGAGATGAGAGAAGCTCTTGAGAATTTAAGTAAAGCTTCACCTGAACTATTTGCGCGATCATTGCCTGATGACAAAAAGTTTAGTTTCCCATCTATGGAAATGATTGAGAAAACTTTAAAGAGACCAGCGGAGCAAAATACATCAAACGAAAGACCAAACAAGCGAGCTAAAGACATGATATCACCAATTACAATACCTATACCTCCTACTATGACTAAATTACCATCTACTAATAGGGAAAATGTATCAGAATCTGGTATTGATTTATCCAGTACTCTCAAAGCTAAATCTCCTGAAAAACAAAGAGAAAAACTAAAAAAAATGGATATTCCTCAACCCACTAACGTAGATGTGGAATGTGATTCACAATTATTGGATAAATGTGACACAGAAAGCATTGATATGACAAAACAAAAATCTGACATAGTTGATGAAAACGATGAGAAAAATGGTAGCAAAAACCGTAAAAGATGTCGAACAAAAAAAACTTCTGTTGATGAAAATGTTGAGCGTAAGAACTTACGAAGTAATGCTGGTAGAGCTGCTGCAGCTGCAGCTGCAAGAACGAAGTCGCATTCACCATCTCCATCGCCAGAATAATGTGTATATTGTATTTTCCCTGCTACAACTTGATGAGGTATAAAACCATTCCTAGTATTTGATGCTCAGATAAGCATTTCTGATTGTTTTACTACAATATTTTTTTTTCTTAAAAGTATTATTTTTTTTATTAAATAGTATTTTTAAGATCATTTTTTCTTATTTGGTTTGACGTTTAAGTTTTTTAAAAATATATTTGTTTAATTCTTGATTACTTCAAACCTAAAGCTCAAATTTGATATTTGATTTTTATTATTTTTGTTCAATTGAATTTATTATCTAAAATATGATAAGTGCCGTTTTACTATAATAGATCATTTTGAGGTGTCCGTGATGTAAATATATTTTATTGCTCTCTAAAATATAAAAAGAATAAGTAAACAAATCTATTTTTAAAAATGTCGATTCCCTGATTTTTTTATTGATTTTTTTTTTTAAATTTGTTTAGTGATTTTTTATACAACTGTGATAGTGTATTTTCATTTTGGAGAACTTACACTTAGTAGATGTATTTGTGCATTTGTAAAGAAAACTTATACTTTTACTACAAGTATAAATTATATGTTTTCTTCCTGGCAAATAATCATTCATATAAATACGTATTTTAATTTTTTCCGACAGTTATTAATTTTATTATTTAACCAGTATTCTGTTGCTAGGTAATTTTTACCCTTTTCTCAAGCAGCTAATGTGTCGCTTACGCACACACAATTTATAAATGTTTATATAATTATACTGGTATTTATTTGTTAATAACAATTTTTTTAGTCATGTGACCACATTTCCTCAGTCACCATTGTTTATGTATAACCCCCAGACTTGTCCGATGTATTTTATGTGTAACCTATTTTTGTATATATGTTATATAATTCTATATAAATATGTGTATACATAAACAAATAATATTATAGGTAAAAAAAAACTTATCTAGTTTTTAGTACTATTGTTTTTTTTTTATTATTATTAATATTAAAATAACGATTTTTTTTAATGTACATTAACCATATTCTGAATCGAAGATCCTTTTTAGGATGAGTGTGACGAGTATTACATACATGACCTGAACAAAATCAGTTTATATAAAATACAAATTAAGTGAACGAATATGTACTTCAGTAATATTACTTTGTAGGTTTAATAACAGGTTCTTAAGGTTCTTATCTACATTATAATATAATGTTATGTGTGTATAAGTATATGTGTATTTATTTAGATGCATATTTACACTTATATTTATATACATAATATACCTTGAATTATGTATGTTGTATGATTATGTAATAAAAGGTAACGTGGAAAATAAAAAAACATCACAAACGTTTTACAACATTTTTAAATCGACCGCAGAGGTACTTATATTTATAATATTTTATTATATATAAATAATGGGGTTCTTTTATTTTGTTTGACAGTGTTTTCATCATGTGGTGGCCTTAAAAAAATAAAAATAAAAAAAAATATATACCATATTCTAACTTACTCGAACCTAAAACGCTTTATCATTTTTAATCAAATGGTATAGGTTGAGATGGTTTTTATATGCTAGACGTTGTTTATGTTTAATTGTCTTGAAATGTGTTACAATCATTGTGGGTAGATAACTAGTACTTTATTATTAATTGTTAGTTTTCATCGAAACAAACAATTATTAAAAACATTCCTAGTTGTCTATCCTACGATTTTAACGCTAATATATTTCTAATACAAATTACTATTAATTTCAATTAATTTTTTTAAAATTAAATACACATATCTGCTCTCAATAACAACTTTAAATGTGAGTTACAGAACCAAAATATAATGGTTTAATAATAATAAGTAAATCGATCTTTTTTTTTAAGTTAGTTTAACTACTGATGGAAATTATTAGGAAAATTGTATAACTGTATTCATATTTCCACGTCATTTTTTATTTATTTATTTATTTATTTATTTATTGATATATTTATATAGACTTTTAAAAAACGCCAACCTTCGATAAAATTAAAATAATTGTTCCTACTAGGAACCTAAAATTGTCAATGTCATTTAGAAACACATGTTGATGGTAACCTTTTACTGTTTAAATTGTACTGGATATTAATAATTTGCCCATATGAAGGCTGATATAAGTACCTATATATTGTGCACTGTTTACAGTTGATGTTTCTGTAACATTTTTTTTACTTGTACAAAATAAAAATTGTTTTTCTATTTTATTTCTATTTATTTAAATGTGTTTAAAGACAGAATAATTGATTTTGGTTTTATTTTCCCTGATACAAACATAAAAATTAGCAAGTTATTTATGTACGAAAAGCAAGTCAATTGTTATAAAATTGAATGTATATATTTCAAGGTGAACATATAAGATAACATACTTGTACAATTATGCTGCACTAAATAAATTTGCATTGGATACTGATATAAATAAAAAGAAGGCCGCTTCTTATGTATCTTCTTAAAATCTTAAACATTAAGAGATTTATCCCTTCCAAAATCTTGGTATACATAATATGTTCGCATATAAATACAATCGAATAATTTCAAATAAAAATAATGCTTCTATATTTAGTGATATGTTGAAGTTATGTTATCTATAAATGTCCATTTAACTTGAAATGTATTGTTTTTGTCAAGAATATATTTGGTTATGCTAGGTGGTTCTAAGAGGGGTGTAATGATTTAATATTTAAAAATTAAAATGTATTTTATTGGTTTAGACTTGAGTAACTTATGAGAGACTAATGAGAGTTATATATAGAAAGGCAAAAAGAAGATTCTTAATTTCCAAAAGGTAGTTGAATTGATTTATTAATTATCAGCTATAGTAATGGCAAATAGAATCATACAAGTTATGGTTCATAATTGATAAATGTATGCACTTATACTAAACTAAGTAGATTCAATTGAATACAGTAAGTAATGACCTAAGATTGGTTGAATAATAAACTTGAATTCTACAGCATTTCAAATAAATTTTGTCTTGCCAATTAAAAATGGTTCTTTTTGAAAGAATTGTCATCATTTAAGCTGTACTAAATTATGTATGTTGTCTGTTAAAAATGTTTAAGAGTCCAAATGAACAAAAAATCTTAGTCTGTCTAGTATCCTCAATCTGATTTAAATGCGGTTAATTATTGTAAACTGAATTGTCAATCATCTTACCAATATGTTAGTAGTTAAACACGTTACATGTATGTGGAATACTTATAATTTTAGCCCACAACATTAATTGTTTATGTATGTAGCACGGTTTGATGATGTTTTGAAAATCATAGTCTTATATTTTTAGCAGTATTGTTAATTTCTTTGATCTTTCAACCATTTTTTATTCAAAGAATAAGGCAGTATATTTTGCATTTAAGACATGGGGTGCTCGAATATTATTGTTCTTGGACGGGCTACCAGTCAGACATAAAAATCAGTTGAAAAAATGGGTTAAACAGTTACTTAACAAAATTAAAAAGCGGGTAAGTGGATGTCGCTCAGCTGTACAGTAGGTTACAAGTTGATTATTATATAATGGATTGTATTAAACTTGAATTCAATGATATTCTATCATTGTATAAGAAAAACGATTCGGAGGGAGACGGTTTGTCAGTCTGGATATTTTATATTGTCATTAATTATTATATCATGTAAGTTGAATTAATATTATAATATTATAATTTTTTATTCCTTTCTATGGTAATAAATAAAGCGTTAGAAATTAAAATCCAATTTTTAGTGGTTTTTACCGTGGCATTAAATAACTATTGATAAAATCGAAAAATGACCTCTCTAAAGTACCATCTTGATCCAACTTGCTAAAAGATAAGGTACTATAATATGTAGAAATCGAAGTACTTCTTCTGTTAGAAATTTTGTATACAGGATATTAAAAGGTGAATAAATATCAAAGGTTGATTATTTTTTACATTTTAGATTCTGAGCGGAGCGATGAATGTATTGGTTTTACAATGATGTATGTTTTTTTTTATATTTTTATATTTTTATTTATATTTTTGTGTCTGTCATCACGTTTTGGGACAGTAAAAGTGCTTCGATTTTCTTCAATAGTACCTTTTCTGATAGGAAAGCGAATCTAGTTGGTACTTTGGGGGGTCAAAAGTAAACATTTTCCAGTAGTTTTCACAAGCGCCGGGAAAAACAACATAAAAATTAAGGAAAAACGGGAATTTTTACGCAAAATCGATTTTCCAAAAAATCGAATTTGGTTATTGGTGTGACTTTAAAACAAATGACCGTAGATACATGAAATTTTCACTGGTTGTTTATATTTGCATTTTCTATACACGATAACATTTTCAAAATATTTTGATTTATTTTGAACTGTTTAGGGACATTTTCATTTTTCATTTTTTTTTAGTTTTTTTTCTAGAAATATCAATAAAATTTTATTTGTTGGTTGCGAAAGCTTGAAAATTTAATAGAAGGCTCCTAATACGTTGTTTCAAAGGCAGATGAAAAATATTAAAAATCCTTAGTCACAATTTTTTTTTATAAGCATTTAAAGTTCAAAAATTGACAAAATATGGAAAAATCACGAAAATTAGCAAATTATTTTGAGTTAAGAATTCGTAAAAATTTTTCTTTTTAAATCTAAGATTTGAAAATGAAACACAAGATTCCTTATAAGATTATCTACCTTTATCAATAAAAAAATCTCTACCGGACAGTCAAATTAAATTTTTATGAGCGTTTGAAATTCAAATTTTTACAACATTGGATTTTCACTCGATTTCTCATGTAGCGATTTCCTTATTTTGTTGTAATTCAAAAACGAATAACTGTAGATACATGAAAATTTCACTGAATGTTTATATTAGCATTTCATATACACCATACAATTTTGAAAATATTTTGACTCTTTTTGAGCTGTTTATGGACATTTACAGCTTTCAATTTTTTTTAGTTTTTTTTTCTATAAATATCAATAAAGTTTTATCTGTTGGGCCAAAAAGTGTAAAAATTTAATACAAGGCTCCTGATATATTGTTACAATATCAGTTGAAAAATATTAAAAATACATAGGCACGATTTTTTTTTATAAGCATTTAAAGTTGGAATTTTGACAAAATTTATCAAAATCTCGAAAATTATCAATCGTTGGAATTAAAAAATTATAAAATGTTCAGTTTTTATAACTAAGAGTTGAAAATTTAAAACAAAGATTCTCTTAAATAATTCATACTGTAACCAAAAAATCTAAAAAATATATAAACACACTTATTTTTTACAGACATTTTAATTTCAAATTTAGACAAAATTTCATATTTAAACCAAGAATTACGATTTTAGTTATTTTGTTGTGATTGAATAATACTATTCGTGGGTACTTGAAACTTCTAAAGTGTACTATTATATATCTATGATAGTATCACGGTTTTTTTTGATGTATAACGCGTTATAAGTATCTAATGGATATTGTGATATGATTAATTTGGAATTGATTATAGGTACCTATTATAGGTCAATTTTTTGTTTAATACCATAGATATGTATATAATATGCCTTATACATAGACTGACATACCATCACCGCTCAGAATCGTTTTTCTTATACAATGATATTATATCATTGAATTCAAATTTAATACCATCCATTATACAGTGACCCACTTGTAACCTACTGTACAGCAGAGCGACACCCACTTGCCCACCTTTTTTATATAATATTATTATAGATGTAGATTGATAATATGAGAGTTGTTATTTAATATGGTGATTCACCTAAGGTTACTGCTAAGTACGCGAGAACTTTTCTCATTTTGATTAATTACAATTTACGATGAGAATGTTTATCTATCTATCTATCTATATAGATATATATATATATATAAATTAATTGCTGTTCGTTAGTCTCGCTAAAACTCGAGAACGGCTTGTCCGATTTGGCTCAAATTTTTTTTAAGATGTTTGTAATTGCCAGGAGAAGGTTGATACTAAAGAAAATTGTAGGAAAATCCACCGGAAAAGTAGGAAATCTGGATGTAAAAAATACAACAGTGTATTATAATTTATATTGGTTGCTATTGGTTAATAGGGCATGTTTGTTGATTTGTATTGTTGTTTTTTGTCAAAATATATATAAACTAGCTCTAAGTGTAACTCGGGGCCCGTCGGACTCGCTGGGAGTGGGTACCGATTTTGGAGACAATGAATTATAAAAGTCGCAAAGGTTGTAAGACGAAAGTTTAGGATTTGTGATAAGGATTAGTGATATGGATTGGAGATAAGGCTAGACGCTTTGGCGGGAATGTTAAAAGTTTGAGCGTCTAGCAATCCGTCACAAACGTTGTAAATGGATAGGCTGGATACGATCTCCAAGATCACCTATATAGAGTATACCTGCACATAGAGTGGTATGTGCCGTAGCATGACTGGTGCTTTATCTTATGTAAAAAGTGTAAAGTCGAAAACCGTGTTGGAGTTTCTAGCAAGTCAGTCATCTCAAGTTAAAATCTATTAACTTTCAAGTTAGCCACTTAGGTAGGCAATTCGACTTCGTCGGATCGCGGACAATGTGCTACAGCAAATCAGGTAGGCAATCCACCTGTGGTGGATTGCAGACCCGACGTCAAGCGGCTATAAGTGAAAACCCTATCACACAACTTACGAAATAATTTATGAAAAATTCAAACTATATACAATATACATACAAACAAATATGATTTGTATTTATTGTGTGATATAATATAACAATGAACATTCTGAGAAATGTGCTATTATAATTCCTAAAAAAATTAACATATAGGTAGATAGTTAGATACACTCTATTATATTAACCAATATGTTGGCTACCCTGTTTTTTGAAAAGGGCTTGACCATTCAGTCATGGTTATAGTCAGTCGCAGAGTACCGGTTGTGGGCTCTGTTCGTAATGTTCGTATGTTTGTTGTTATTTGTTTATGCATTTTAATAATACAAGTTCGAACGTATGCCTTTTGGTTTGAGAAATGCTCCAGCTGAGTTTTGCCGATTGATGGACCAGGTGTTGGGAACTCTCAAGAGGGAAGGTGTTGTTCGTTGTTACATCGACGATGTCATTATTCCAGCAACAGATTGGGGAGACATGTGTAGGAAAGTGGAAAGAGTATTTCAAGCTCTTGAACGTGCTAAGTTAACCTTGAACCCAACCAAGTGTGCTTTTGGAGTCACTGAATTGGATTACTTAGGTTTTAATATTAAGGAAGGTCAGCTGCGTCCAGGTCGGAAAATAGCTGTAATTGAGAATTACCCAAGACCAAAAAATGTCCATGAACTAAGAAGATTCCTCGGATTGACAGGATACTTCCGTCGTTTCATAACACATTATGCGGACATTTCTGCACCACTGACGGCTTTGACGAAGAAGGATCTACCATGGAAATGGACGGATGCACAACAAGGAGCATTTGAACAATTGAGGCGTATACTGACATCTGCTCCAGTGTTGAAATTATACAATCACGAATCACCGGTGACTGAAGTACACACAGATGCTAGCGCAAAAGGTCTATCGGGCATGTTAATGCAGGGTGACACTGAGAAATCACTACACTTAGTGTATGCGGTGAGCAAAAGAACAACCGAAGCGGAATCACATTACCACTCCAGTAGACTTGAATTATACGCGATTGTATGGACGTTAATTCGATTGAGGCCATATCTGTTTGGAATCAGATTCACAGTGGTGACTGATTGTCAGGCTTTGGTATATTTGAACACCAACAAGTCAGCAAAGCCACAGGTGGCTCGTTGGTTCGATCTACTACAAGAATTTGAAATGAATATCAAGTACCGATCAGGCGAGCGGATGGCTCACGTTGATGCATTGAGTCGTTTGGAAGGTACTACGGACAGTGTACAAGCAGTAGAAGAGGCATTGGATAATCGATCCTTGGTCATGACATTAATGACTTTGGAAGAACGTGTACGATACATGCAACAAGCTGATCCTGATACATGTCGATTAATCAACATATTGGAGAGGGGTGAAGGTGACCGAACTCCATATGAGAGGAACGCTGTAAATAAATTCAAGTTGTTGGATGGTGTATTGTATCGAGATTTAGAGGGGATAAGTCGTTTTGTGGTACCTAAGCCTCTGAGAAAGGGGATAGTGATAATGGCCCATGATATGGCAGGTCATAGGGCATTGGATCAGACACTAAAGAAAATTCAGGAACACTATTGGTTTTCAAAAATGCGTAGGTATGTACAGATGCATATCGGTGGATGTTTGGATTGTCTGGTCAACAAGAAGCCTGGAGGAAAACAACCAGGAGAGTTACACCCTATTCCCCCTGGAAAAAGACCATTTGCAGTTGTTCACTTGGATCATTTGGGACCTTTTGAAACCAGTTTGAAGGGCAATAGATTTTTATTAGTGTTAATAGATAACCTTACCAAATATGTATTGTTGTTTCCAGCAAAATCCACTCACACTCAATCAGCTATTAGAAGTTTACAGAAGTTTGTTGATCAATGGGGATTGCCGGATCGTTTGATAACAGATAGAGGGACATGCTTTACTTCCAAGGCGTTCCAGGATTACTGTCAACATAATGGGATCAGGCACACTCTCAACTCGTCTCGACATCCGCAAGCAAATGGACAAGTGGAGAGGACCAATAGAACCTTATTGCCAATGCTTGCAATTCAAGCACAAGATCAAAAATTATGGGATCAGAAGCTGAAAGAAGTTGAACGTGACATAAACAACACGGAAAGTAAGACTACCAGATACACACCATTTGAGTTAATCCACGGATACCGGCCTCAGTTTCATTCAAGCGTGCTGAGATTACTAGATGGTGTTGGTACACATCAGCCTTTGAATTCAGTAGAGTTACAGGCCAAGGCAAGAGATAACATTTTGAAAACTCAGGTATCAATGAAAGAAAGATATGATCAGAAAAGGAACAAATCGATAAGCTATGAAGTTGGAGAAATGGTGGCAATGCTGCGTGCACCTACCCCAGGTCAATCTACCAAGCTTCAGACCAAGTATCGGGGCCCATTGCAAGTTATAGGGAAACTACCTGGAAACACATATCGAGTCGCTGAGATGGCAAGGGATGGTAAACACATTTATGCTACAACGGCTCATGTGTCTCAGTTGAAGGCAGTTTCAATAATGCAAGAGGAGCAGCTTGAGGAAAAAGGAAGTGGGTCATCAGCAGATGAAGATGAAGAGACTAACAAATCAAATGCTGATCTACCAAGGGTGGAAGAAACTGTTAAGCTTAAACGTCAAAGAAAACCACCAAAGTATTTAGAAGATTATGTTTAATTAAGTCCATCTAAAGAACTGATTTGTTTAATTTTGTTTAAAATATTAATTTAGTTAAATCCATCTAAAGAACTGATTTGTTTAATTTTGTTTAGAATATTAATTTAGTTAAGTCCATCTAAAGAACTGATTTGTTTAGATTTGTTTAAAATATTAATTTAATTGAGTTTGTTTTATATAATGACTTATCGAGGTCGATAAGTAAGGGTGGATGGCCGAGTGTTGGCTACCCTGTTTTTTGAAAAGGGCTTGACCATTCAGTCATGGTTATAGTCAGTCGCAGAGTACCGGTTGTGGGCTCTGTTCGTAATGTTCGTATGTTTGTTGTTATTTGTTTATGCATTTTAATAAAACTGCTTTAGTAAGTACAATTCGTTTGTCTTCGTTTAAAACCTATTAGTAACAAATACAATCCATATAAACATGTACCTATAGAGTGCCTATAGTGTATATATATTAATTTAAAAAAAAAAAAAAAACCTTCATGTTAAAGTGTCTATCAAGTCAATCATCACCGTTTAAGACGAAACTTAAATGAGCAATCCGTCTATCACCTACATGTAGTAGGTATATCACATAGAGTGGTATGTGCCTTCGCATGTCCGGTGCCTTTTCTTATGTAAAAAGTGTAAAGTCGAAAACCGTGCTGGAGTGTCTAGTAAGTCAGTCATCTCAAGTCAAAATCAAGATTAACTTCCAAGTTAGCCACCTAGGTAGGCAATCCGAAATAAAATACAAACTAAATTTATATAACAATCATGGAAATTTTAAAAAATATGCAATTATAATAATTCCTAATAAAACAAATATAACATGTACCTATTTATTGTGTGATATAATATGACAATGACTTTAAATAATAATAATGTATGATAATATGTTCCTGTATTATTATAATATTATTATTTAATTTATATGAAAAATATAGTGAAAAAAAAATGCAAAGTCGGGTTTCGGGCGGCCGTGTAAACCATCATGGCAATGACGGTTTCGACGCCCGGCGAGCTACGTGTTTCCTACCTAAAGCCTAACATACTTGGACACAGTTTGAGATGTGAAATACCTACGGTCAAAACATCAACACTTAAGCCGTGCGTCTAAGCGACGTAAACTGATATATTCGATGTACATCGATGTAATCGCATATAATTCACTTGTAATACTCGCATCTCCCATATATATATTTAACGGGGCGTATAAAAAGCGTTTTCCGTTAATAATTATTAAATCATAGGGAAAAATTAAATTATACACGTATATACATGTATATATATATGCGTACGGTCGCCGGTCGGTCGGTCGCCGGCGTAATTTCTAAACGCGATTGCGAGGCGAACGAACCGATTTCGGGGGAAAAGCCATATAAAGGGATTTAAAAAGACGTCGACTACACGATTCGGGCACAAACCGCGTGCGAATAGACGAAACGGTGGGAGAAAGGAAAATATCGGCAAAAAAGTCCGGTCGGGAGTGTATTTTTCGATCGACATTGCGACCGCTTCGGACGGCGCACGAATATAAACCGCACACCGGCGGCTTCGAATTAAGTATAAAAAAGGACGAAAAAGGTCGAAATGTTGTAAAAACATCTAATTTTCCGAAAATTTCAAAAATCGGCGAAATGATAGGAAAAGAGGTGATAAAGAAAAAACGTTTTAAAACCGACTGCCGCCGCTGCGAAGGTACGCGATTGGTCGCGCTATAAGGAATCGATGGGACATGGCCGGCGGGCTGAGGGAACAGAGCGGTGTTTCATTTTTTACACCACGGTTTCACTATAGCCTGCGTTTTGCTTTCCATTGGTACACTATAGACAGCTGATTTCCTTGTCATTTTACAGTATAGGATAATGTAGTGTTGGTAACACTAGATTGTCCACTATCATATAGGATACTCATTTTTCAGTTATAAAGAATGAATTATGTAATTACTGAGACTGTAGTTTGAAACAATGTAATGACATAAGAAAAGCAATAAAAGAATTTAAGTTGTATTTTTTGTTTTAATGTACAATCTGAAATAAAGAGAGATGTCTTGCACTATGACAGTCACAGACATCACAAATAAATAAATGTTTGTGTGTAGAAGTCCTAACCTCTATGGAGAAGACAGGCAAATTCACAATTTTTTTAACTCTTTATGATAAGTTGTTTTAAAATAAGTCAAGTTATAAGTTACTCATATTTTAGATTCTGAGTGGAACGATGAATTATTGATTTTACAATGATGTGTGTTTTTTTTTTTTTTTTTTTATTTCTGATAGGAGAGTGAATCTAGTTGGTACTTTGGGGGGTCAAAAGTGAAAATTTCCAAGTAGTTTTCAAAAGCGGCGTGAAAAACAAAATACATATTAAGGAAAAATGGAAATTTTTACACTAAAATCGGTTTTCGAAAAAATCAATTTTGGTTTTCGGTGCAACTCTTAAACAAATGACCGTAGGTACATGAAATTTTGACTGAATGTTTATATTAGCATTTCCTATACACGATAACATTTTCAAAATGTTTTGATTTATTTTGAACTGTTTAGGCACATTTTAATTTTCCATTTTTTTTTTAGTTTTTTTTCTAAAAATATCGATAAAATTTAATTTGTTGGTTAAAAAAGCTTGAAAATTTGATACAAGGCTCCTACTATATTGTTACAATGGCGTTTGAAAAATATTAAAAATCCTTAGTCACAGTTTTTTTTTATAAGCATTTAAAGTTCAAAAATTGACAAAATATGGAAAAATCACGAAAATTAGCAAATTATGTTGAGTTAAGAATTCGTAAAATTTTTCGTTTTAAATCTAAGGTTTTAAAATGTAATACAAGATTCCTTATAAGATTATCTACCTTTATCAAAAGAAAAATGTCTATAAGAAAGTCAAATTAAATTTTTATGAGCGTTTGAAGTTCATATTTTTACAATATTGGATATTCACTCGATTTCTCGTGTAGCTATTTTGTTATTTTGTTGTAATTTAAAATTAAATAACTGTAGATACATGAACATTTCACTGAATATTTATATTAGCATTTCCTATACATACCATACAATTTTGAAAATATTTTGACTCTGATTGACAATTTTTGTTATAATATGCTTATAAAGTTTTTTTTTTCATACTTAACTTAAGACATTTTAATAGAAGGTTTCCAACAAGTTTTTGTACCTCTATCTAACTAAAAAAGTTCCCCAGAAAGTCACGTTTTCGATCTTGGTTAATTTTTTTGTTTAGCTACTAAATTTGATTATTTTTACAAGTGTGATAGGCTGATACAACGTCTCCGCTCAGAATATTTTTTCGTTTACAATAATTTATCAATGTAATTTAAATATAACACATCCATTACAACGAAATGCTTGACACCCTCTGTACAGCAGAGCGGTACCCACTTGTCCACCTTTTTTCATAATGTATTAGGTGCCCACTATATTTATAGACTTATTAATTTATCAATATTATTATATGAAGTATAAATATATTACGTGTGTCTTGTTATTAATTAATTTACTTATTTATATTATTGTAAGTACAAGGTACTATATTTTTAAGTATATTTGCGCGTAGCCCCCTTATACCTAGGTAGGTATATATCATAATTCATAATATTAAATACGTATTTAAATAAATGCAACTGCCAACTGACGATAATGAAATTTTAGGCCCCTCAAATTTACTCTGCCCTGGGCCCCGTAAATCGTCCGAACCGCCCTGTCTCCAACTTTATGTATGGGTGTAATTAAAGCTGTTTTGAATGAATTCGGTATATTGCATTCCACTAAGATTGTATTAAAATTAATATTTTCTAGGATATGTGATATAGATTCTTTAATATGTTTTATAATGTTTATACCTAGTAATTCCGTCTTTGCCCGGGGCCGAAGTCTCGAAGTCTCGGAGTCTTCGATCAAATTTTTTTCGTTAATTGGTCGTGGTGGTCCAGGTTTTACGGCCATCAATATAATATTAAATATTATATTATGAACGATGAACATGTTAAGTGTAAATTGTCGGTTTTTTTACTTAGGTACATACTACATACTGCACTGCAAATTGCAACAACAATTAAATAATGTGAATAATTACCTATAGTCTTTATTTAAAAGATATTGTAATATGTAGGTACAACAAATAATAATCAGTGAAACAATATACAATAATTAATACTTATAGCTAAGAATGGATTTAGAATGATTCTTAAATGAGTTAAAGTTTGGTGAAAAGAACAGATCAATTTTAAATTCATTAATAGTTTTCTTAATTCGCTGATATGTGGGGGTGTTACTTGCATAGTTAGCTATTTCATTGTTAAGATAAAAAGTATTTATAGACTGGGTGCTTCAAGAAGGAATATAAAAGGAGAAATGACTTAAGAAAACATGAGAATCAATATTATCGTTGAAAAGCTTGCATGAGAAATATAAATCTAATAGTAAACGACGCTCGCTGCTCAAGTGTTTTGTTCATCTAGAATAATAAGGTTTTAACCAATTTTAAATTCCCTATTTAAAATAATTATTTAATTGAAAATTTAGTTTCAACAGGATCTAAAAGTCAGGTGCATAGATTTACATACAATTTGTAGATTCTGTTCGTTTTAAATTGTATATTGTACATTTTAATACATTGTTTTCAAATTTCATTTCAAAACAAAGGTCAGAAAGAATTGTTTGCATAAAAGTAATATATTTAAAATAGTGTGGCCTTTGTTTGTATATTTTTCATTATTTGTATTATAAGGCCCTAACAAGGTTAGGTATTTACCGTGGCCAGTCATAGAAAAATGAATACATTTTTAATTTATTTATTTCATGGATAAATATTGGAAAATAAATAGATACGGTCTTTAGAATCTACACGAGGTAATGGAACATAAGTTGTAGTAGTTGTAGTTATAGTGGGGCGTCTGATGGTAGTAGTTGTTGATGGAAAACTGGTGGCAGTAGTTTGACGATTAATAACAGGAAATTCCGGCTTTTTTGTATTAGGGTAGAATATTTTTGCCTTTCTTCCTAACAAATAGATGTACAATGACCCGTCCGGCCAATATCGATGTCCCTCGGGGATGATTGGCAGTAAATCCCGTGCCAAAATATCCGATAGTCCATTGCACTGGCTTACATCAAATTTTTCTCCTTTTACCGGCTTGCTAATCACCATCCGGATTCTTCTAATCTTCCTATCGTCTTCGTCGTACACATCGTACAACTGTGGGTGGAACGGAAAAAAAGAAAGATATTTAATTAAACATAACTTAAAAATATATATATATATAATATATAAATATAAGTGCACTGAAATCCACCCTCAATCTCCATTTACAAACGTCGATGACGTTATGTTTTAGACCTACAGATTTCACAGTAAGATTACCGAGGATAGTTGTTGGATTGGTGTTGTTTGTGTATTCGATATTATATTTAACATAATAAATTATATTTATTCGATATAAAACTAAATATATAATATGTGAATCATCAAACCGTTTAATATGGTTTTATTCATTTATTTATTTATTATTTATTTAACATGATAATCAATATTACAGTTGAGAAGCTTATATAATATGAGAAATATAAATCTAATAATAAATGACGCTGCTCAAGTGTTTCAAGGGAAAGATACGTTGGAATTGGAGTGTACGAAAAATGCGGCTCTATAGGTATGAAACCTTTAAAAGATATTAAACCTAAACATTTTCATTGGATATTCTTAATTTTATAAATACCAACAGATATGTATGAAGACAAAATAATCGAGCCATATTCACAGATGGAATACGTACCAACCAACAATATATGGACTTTGTAGCTAAATTGTCATCGAAAGCTGCACAATTTAGACGAATAAAGCCAAGGATTTTATTTGATCTGAACACAATGTCATTGGTATGACATTCGAATTTCAGTTTAGGATCGAAAAGTCCAAGGTCTTTAATAGGTCCCATGATACGATGTAGCGTTACACCATTTAGGTTGTAATCAAAAGTTGAGAGAAAACAAGCTCTTTGATTTGTTGAAAGTATATTTATACAACATGAGGGCTTAAATAATTTGACAAAGTACCTAATTAGTATGCAATATTATAAGTTAAACTATGTTGAGGAGGGTGTGTCATATAGTTATTGTGTATAATATTTGCTAGTTAGACCTATTATTATTATTTTGTAATTATTACAATAACCTATTTCTTGAGAATAATTTTTTTTATATAATGATATAAGTACACCTATAATAAGTATCTTTTATATCACCAACCACCCGCGTAAAAACAAAAAACCTATAATAGGATCGTATGTATACGAGTATAAGAATGATCTTCAATCACCTGTGACTCCCTCTCACCCCCAGGCACTAATCAAAGGGAGTAATCAAATTGGTTGTACGAGTTCGTCTACTACAATAATATAGAATATAAAATAACATGCCGGTAAACATAGTATACTTACGGCACATCTGTAGGTTCGTGTTTTGGTTTTGAATTGCATTGACTCTGCATTATGTTCCAGTAGTGATATATATTGCCAGTTCATTTCAGATTCGTCTTTATTGGTCGGCCTGTCATGTTCTGACAAACACTCAAACATGAAGTGCTCCATATCTGATAGAAGCATAGAGCACAATAGAAAAAAAATATACATGAGTATGAGAAATGACTTTGATCCGGAATATCGACACAAGAAATATTTAGCGTTATTTTGATAAGCGTGAGCGTGAGCGTTTTAATGAGCGTGATCGTATACAGCCGTGATTTTGTACAATAGATATAAATTATAATACCTACATTTATAACACACTCTCTAATATATATTATGTACCTAATATTAATACAGTAGATAGTCAATTTCATAATATTTTCATACAAACATACAGAATAACGATAATTCATAATAGAGTTGATTATTTTGTTCGGTACATGTAAAATTGTAAAAAACACAAACGGTAATACATACAATATCAATATTAAATAATATATGAAGTATAATTGTATTCTGTGTATAATGCATAATATGGGTTTTTAATATTGATAGTAGTACCTATTTTGAAAACTGCCACAACATAGATACCTGATCATCTATACAATATGCAGTGACATTAAAAGGTAATGTCCGTTAATAGAGTATTTCAGTATATAGGTACAAGTATCACATATACTTATATATTATAATGTACGATGAATGCTCATAGGATTAGAGGTAGAGAGCTTTACTGTAACCACAGGTGCAGAGCCCCTTACCCTCCTCCCCAACTGTGTAATAAAGTTTCGTTATACGTACTCTGCATGTTGTCGCAATGTCCGTGTCCAAATGATTGCTCGGGACGCTCCAACCACAAATGGAACATTGGAGCAATGCTAAGTAGATTTTCGTTTCCCATATAGGCGCATCCGTACATCAGTGACTTAGTATGTATAGTTTCTACCTCAAATTTAGCCTTTTTTCCAAATGGAGGACATACACTGAACCTATTCAGAACTGAAACACACAGAAATACAAATACCATATTACATTATTATAAGCATATTATACTCTTTGTGGTATTAAAAGTATTATGAAGCTTAAAAATAATATATTATTTAATAATATTTATTATTTATTAGCTGATCCCGTGCACTTTGTTGACCGTTAAATGTATCAACTCTATATGACTCAAACTTTGTTCAATTCGTTCTTTCATATTCGGTGTATGGTGTTCAAAATTAATCTTAACTTTTCCGTTGCCCCGAATAAAAATTTTGATTCGCCGCAGTATACATTATCAAGTTAGAAATCTACCTGCGATAGATCGCGGAGCCCGTGCTGCTCGTACGTAAGTGTATGATTTACTTTTAAAGTATCAAAGTTATACCAAGTTTGTCATTTTTACTTAATTCCACCTACGGTAGATTAATATGATAAATTTATACAAAATCCTATCCTAACCTAACCGTACTAAACCCCATAAATAAAAGAAAAAACAAATTTAACCCTTTGTAGATTAACCTATCTTCTTCCCAGAGGTCTAATCTACCCACAAACATTAATTTATATAAATATCTAACTATATAAATACACAGACTATAACTATGCATGCTAAACTCTGGAACTCCTTATCAGATCTTCTTGTATATATTATGTATATGAATATTGACAAAAGATAATAATACAAATCAACTAACATGATTAACCAATACCAACGAATATATTATACACCGGTGGATTTTCCTAAAATTTTCTTTCATATAAACCTTCTCCTTGAAATACTCTTTCGTTTAAATAAAAAAATCAAGAAGTTCTGATAAGTAGTTCTAGAGTTTAGCCTGTACACAGATTTTCATTTCACATTTTTATAGTTAGATATTATATTATAATTTATATTTAAAAAGTAAAGCAAATAGTTTTTTTTTTATTATTATTTTTATATAGCTTAAAAACCTATTATTGCTTATAGACGCATAATTATAATACTGATTGAATAAGTATATGTACAATAACAAATAGTCGATGTATGTAATAAATGGTTTGTTCTCGTGACAACGAATTAAAACGATTCACTATAATTCTGGATTGAAATTTCTAGAATGAATCATTTTATACGACGACTCATGGCAACCATTTATATACAAACATTTCCATCTGAAATCTCAAAATTTCAGTTTGAGCACTTCCCGGGGTTGGTCCTCTCCATTTTTAAATTAGCCTATATTTTAGGTTCAGCCAAATTACACACATTGCAAAAATTTCATCAAGATCGGTAGAGCAGTTTCGGAGTTTAACCCGGACAAAGAGGTGACACGAGAATTTTATTTTCCTTATATAAGACCTTATAATTTATATATTATATTTTTTTATTTAATATTTAAATTTAAGTGAAATGGTATGTTTTAAGAAACTGACAGAAACCGTTAAAAACTGAACCCAAAAACAAAATCAAAAACAAAAGAGGAAATTTTAAAAGTTTTAGCGAGACTAACGAAAAGCAATTCATTTTTATATATTTATATATATATATAATTATATAAATAAATAATACGTAAAACAATAAATATTACCTGTTCGTTTAATTTCTGCTACTGAACCTGAGTTGGCCGCCAAGGAGGAGATGATGGTAAAAAAGATTAATATATTTGCTACCATATTATATTCCATCGTGTTGTCGGTTTATTATCTAAAATTAGCTAATATAATCAAAACAATCATGACCCAGTCGTTGCAGTAGGGCGAGAAAAACTGGCACGGTTAACACACGAATGACGATCTGCAGAGCTTTGCACTCCGTTTTATATGCGCCACGGTGGAGGTAGCGGCCTGATTGTTCCTACCACCAGTTGAGCGTCGTTGAGCATTATTTTATTATACGTTGTCTACCGTCTACCGTATACGCAACAAGGCCAGTATAAGGGGGGGGGGGGTCGCATCGGGCCCATCAAATTATGTATTCTGAATATCACTTTATCTATAAATAATCATAATAATATTGTCCTAATAGTACCCAAATTGCAACCCGTGTGGATGTGTAGTTACTTTAGGAAATGGGTTGTTATAGAAGAAAACTAAAACATTAGCAATATTATACCTACCTGGCTATTATTAAAACAAAATTTCTACCGGGAGGAGTTCTTTGATGTCAACATAAAGTTTCTTATATTTTAGCAAATTGGATCAAGATTGTTCTTTAGACAGGTCATTTTTCGATTTTCTCAATAATTTTTTAACGCTTCCAAAATACCCTATTGCTAAGCTATTTTTTACTAAAGTTTTGTTCATCACTATAGAAATGAATTAAATTTTAAAATGGATACACTGATCCTCTACTCAGAAACGTTTTTTTAGCGAATGCAATCATTCCATTCAAATCGAATACTGTAATAATACACTAGCATAGTAGCATGTTCGATGGACGATGGGAATATGGACAAACTTCCAATATCCCAGAAATGCTCCATCCCCCTTCACTTACCCGCTTTTTTGCATATATGTGTTATTAAGACTTCTAGAGGGATCCATCAACTATATGACCACTTTAATTATGCCCCTGATTCCAGTGACTTAATCGGTATCAATATAATTTGGTGTATACACTTAATCATATCTATCGAACATAATTTATAATTTTGACCCCCAAAAGTACCTACTAACTAGATTCACTTTCCTATAAGAAAAGATACTGTTGAAGAAAATCTAATAATTTTCAATGTCCTAAAAAATGATGACAGACACAAAAAAATAACATTTATCATTATAAAACCAATACATTCATAGCTACTAAGCTTAGAATTTAAAAAATGGTTTATCAAGTCATACGTCATTTTAAACTTTATACTTTTATAACTGAACATATTTTTTTCTAATAAAAAAAAATTGAAATATCTCTTTTATACCCATAATAACAAGGGGATTGAGGTTTAATGATGACAGTCTCTGTGATTTGACAGCTTTACACGGTTTACAATACCTTGTACGCGTTATCGTAGGTACATACAACTGATAATATATAGGCGTGACCCATGAAGCAACAAACGCATGCATTAAAAACGAACTATATATTAGTAAAAATATAAAAGTATTTATTCGCTTGTAATCATGAAAGCATGCACTTAAGGATCAGAATGTAAAACCATTAACCTGTAAATTCAAGTAATGCACGAAACATATTATAATTTATTGTGATTAGATTCGTCAGTATTTGTTCTCGGATAATACATTTTTCGTCGCTATGTAGGTACTTGCATTAATATGGGTGACAAGGTCACTGATCCGAGGCCGACCAGAAATTTATCGTTCGGGTTTGGCCATCGAGCCTTCCATTGTCTATAGATTCTCATCAAGAACTCTTATTCGTCTTTATTCTTTTTCTCGTTTATTCTTATCATTTATATACTTTTAATAGTATTATTAATATTAAATTGTATTATAACACATAATTTACCATTATAATGGAAAGGGTCACGATTCTGTATCTAATTCGGATTTCTTTTTAAGGTGTGTGATCTATATATTTATAATTGTTAATAATGCAAAACGCTGAGAATAATACACGTGAATACATATAGTATAGGTGATTCACTCACCAAAGCTGGCCAGTAACTAAATAAAAAGTTAAAAGTGAAGTTATAAGTTAGGTACTTTTTTTTGATAGTTTTAATCAATTGTCTCAATTGTTATTTAATGTCATGGAAAAAGCTTCATATTTTATTATTGACAATAAGTCAGACATTATGCATAGAAAACCATACTGGTGTACAACTTATATAAAATGGTTTAATTAAAATTAACGCTTACAAAAGATTTATAACTATTAACTAACGGAATGCTTATTCACACATTAATAAAATATAAACGGTTAAAAAAGAGATTATTAGTCTTAACAGTCAGAATGGAAAATTTGAAGACATCACTAATTTTTTTCAATATTGGTTCCTACTAATGAAAATGATAGTATTCTGAAAAACATATTACTCGGAAACGAACTAACTAAAATTAGTAATAATAATTATCATTCTAATATCCATGATACAAAGACCAACAATTTAGTTATAATCACTGAAGAAAGTAAGAATATATTACGTTGTAAGAATATTATATAATAACAATTTACAATGTATACATAAAACCTATTGTTAACATGTCTGAAAGGGATTAAAAAATATACAACATGTATTATAGAGAGTACAACATATATTTATTTATTTATTTTATTTTTTTATTTTTATTTATTTTTCAAGAACATAATGGGTCCCACTGAACATGTTCGTGTGGGATCCCATGAAAAACATAGTATATATATGTTACGGAAGCTTGCTTCATTTTTGTTCATATATTCATTATATCATATCATCCGTTATCTATATTGCCCAATATACGAAGTGAATTTTATACATTGTAAGGATATTATATAAAATGCCCAAATTGATTATATATAGGTTATAATATGAGTATAAGATGTAAACAAAAGTTTATGTTTTGTAGGGACCGTGGTATAGATTTCTGTGTCTGTTGTGCAGGGGATAAGCGCGTGATATGTGCACCCAGTACTTCTTGGGATTTCCACTTTACAGCCCTGCATTATTAGGAATTCTCACTTTCCCAAGATACACAATATTCCGATATTCCGTAAACGATATAATATGATCACAACAAAATCTTAAAGATGTAATTTTTTTTATTTAACCGTTTTTTACATAAAGTTCGACAAAGTGTTATTGTTGGGACTCCTGCTTCCAAATAATAACATATATCTCCACTGTCGTGCCGCCACTATATATTTTTTTTACTTAGCTTGCTCCACGGTCGTGGCGCCGGATATAATATAAAATATAATGCAATCGAAAATCAACTCCTTCTATCATCATCCATGTCCCGACCAGGGTGTTGTCTTTATTTTATTCTGTAAAAGTATACCTACCAAAACATAATAAATGGTTTGCTCTGTTATATATTATATTTTAAAAGTAAGTACCTATACCAATAAATTAATGTAGGTACTTAGGATGACAGTTAAAAAGGACTTACGGCCCAATGGGCGTCGGCGTCACGTTGGCGGCTGCCAGTAACTACGACACTACGAATACAAATATATACCTCCCAATTGTAATATAATATAATGGATTCGAAATCAGCCACTTACCATCCTTGTCCATGCCACGATCCGGAATCTCAGCCATATTATATTGTATTAGCATTAGGTACTTGTACCTGTCCTTACTTCGCCCTAGAAAAAATTAATACACCTAAAATTCTGTGCTACGTATATATCGGGGTATCTTGATTATAGAAATTCATAAAGAAAGTACATTTGAACTAATCGTGATAGTACCTAACAGTGGCGTATATAAGAATTATTTTCACCATGGGCCAATTTATCAGTTATCACTAGACACTATTCAAGCATAGCATGACTAACATAGCCGCAATCATACATTTTTTAGTGAGCTGGGTGGTTATAATTATGACATATTATACAGTACAAATAAAAATTGCACAATAAAATTCAATTTTATAATATTCATTATGTAAAATAATTTTTGGTTCTATTTTGAAAAAATATTGACAGTGTCATTTATATATTTTAATGTTATCTTACTATGAATTTACATCAAAGTCAATAAGTCATCAAAGAAAGTCCTGACACTCTAACATTTCCTTGTTGATTCCTTAAAAACGATTTTAATCAACCGGTTAACTTAATCATAGTAAAAACTGTAAACAGTGTAAATATACATGTAACGCTTTAATTGAACCTGCAATTTCACTATCGGCTCTGGCAGTCTGGCCTAGATCAAAGTTCAAAGTTTAAAAAGCTCGACAAAGCACGGCCAACTCCTTTAATGACGATTACGGAATGAATGACTTACAAATTCAAAATTCGTGATTAAAAATACTTACAAATTGCGCATGACGATTTGGATCAGTAAAAAGCTTTGAAATGCCAAAATGGCCAAGTTTCGAGGAAGTTAGCCGTGATTTAAACTTTTGAGGATAATTGAAAATATCTGTAATGGTTGGGCAAGATACTCAAAAAAAGTTATCTATCACGATACATATACATGATCATACATTTAGTGTATAATCATACAAGATACAAGATACAAAATACATGTATCAAAGATACATATTATGATAGGTACTTTTATATTTCCAAACGAGTTTTATTAACTCTTAAACGTAAAACGTCTATACACAATTCACTATAGTACTTCCTGTCTATACATAATAAATACGTAATATATTATTATACCTACATAATAATAGTACCTATTTATAAATTCTTATAAAGTCATAATTATATCAAATACGAGAATAAGTCAATAGGTAGGTACCCATCAAACATTTATAACTAATACATCATCACATAATATATAATATAAATACACCAAAATTAAGAAATTACATAACAATTACAGAACGAATAGAATTTTACAACAACTTGAATAGTATATATTATACTGTAATTGCTTATCGTTACTTTGATTTTATTTTCGATTTTATGTCGAAATAAATACATGGTTGCACTCAATACTCATATCTAGGCAGCAGATTCATACCTATTTAAGAGAACGAATATTTCGATTCAGTGCTTTTCTATATGACTATTGACTGCTTGTAGATACGTATACCATGTACGGGCTACGGCCATACGGGCACTTTAC